CATGCCTGCCACAATCTCCTTACACCCATCACCATAGTCGCCAACCCATACTCCACCTAAGTCACTAGAAACCACTGCCAAACACCCTTTCCAACTAAAAAAAAAAAAAAACCACAAGAAAAACCCACAAGCAAAATACCAAAAAAAAAAACCCGAAGCTAAAATCCAAAAAAAATCAAAATAAAAAAAACATAGTCTTCCCTGATGGGAGAAACCCAATGCCATAACCCATAACCAAAGCCACCCTACAAAAAAAAAAAACAAAAACAAAAAAATTAGTTTTAATTTATACAAAAAAACTTTTAAAAAATGAAGTTGTAATGGTGACAGAGAGAGGAGAAATGAAGCTGTAACGATGGCAAGCAGAGGAGAAAGAGAAAAGGAAAGAAAAGAAAAAAAACAGCAAGAATAATGTGTGATGGCTTAACTTGTGGTGACTGGTGGTAAAAAGACGATAATGCGGCATCTTCTGGGTTCAAAATGGAAGCTATTCCGTTTTTTGGTCTAAAGGGAAATGCATTTTTTTTTTTGGAAAAGTAGATGAAATTAAAAGAAAAAACTTAAGATTTTATAAAACAAAAAAAATGAGTTGATCAAGTCAACCCACCCACACCAAGTTAGACTCATCTTTGGCCCAAATTCGATCTGTGACCTAACTCGCTTGTCAATTAGCTCATTCTAGCAACCGAAATCCAAACCAGTAGTTGGACTCCAATAGTTTTGGTCTAATGATTACTTGAATTTGGGCTTCAACACCAAAGTTTTTTTAGTATGGCTTTTATACATTTTGTTCTTTTTTATTTAAATGTTTCTACATTGTTATTGGCAATAATATTTTTTATAAAATAGGCTTGCCTTGAAATAGTTAACAATGCTTATGAAAATAAATATTTTCTTAAAAAAATTATTATTAATGTTCATTTTTTAATGTAATGAAATTAAAATTAGATGAAATTTTTTTATGACGAGATTCTAAAAAGTCAAGTAGTGATTCTCGAGAATTCCCTAGGTGAGAAAGGGCTTTTAAAAATTATCAAAATATTAGAATATTTAGAAACTCTTTTTAATACAAAGATTTCTATTTTTATTTTTATTTTCTTTAATTTGAATAATTTTCTTAAAAAAAAAAGTAGATAAAAAATATATAAAATATTTATAAGAATATTTTTTTTAGGAACTAAACTTATTATTACATGATTTTTAAATTTTAATAATTATAAAAAATAAAATAAAATCTCCGATGATGAGTTTCAAAAAAATTCGAGTAATGATTCTTTAGTAATCTCTAGGTAAGAAAATTTATCTAAAATACTGCAAATATATCAGAGTATTTAAAATAATTTTCGATAACAATTTCTTGTTTCGGTATAAAAAATAAACTTTAGAAAATATTATTCAATTTTAAATTATAAATATCATGTTCTACAATCTGCTTATTAAATAAAATTTTGATGATAAATATAAACAACTGATGAAGAGGTTTTTAGAATTTTGAGTAGTGATTCTTAAAGGATCTTTAAGTGAAAAAAATTCTTTTTAATATTACAAAAGTATTGGAATATTTTCAAAAAATTTTCAACAAACAAAGTTCTTTTTTTTTTTTCCAACCAAAAATAAAAATATGTTTTTTTACTACAATAAATAAATTTAAGAAAATTAAATTTTAAATACCAAAATTAAGATCATTTTAGTCAAAAGTAAATGATAACATATAATTAATTAATATCATTTTAAATGGGTGTTATAGGGTTGCTAATCTTTTCGTATGCGTAATTGACTCTTTAACTTCAACTTTGACCCAAAAATTATCTTTTTGAAAAAATTTTAATTAATTTTAAATTTTTTATTAAAAAGATAAATTTTAATAAATGACCGATTATACCTAGTCAAAAAAAAATAGTGATAACTTTTTTTTGCTTTCAAATTTATTTAGTAGTCTCCAAAAAACCGTCACAATAATAACATTGTCATGCCATTTTCAATTCAATACCCATGCAATTGGACCCTTTATCAAGTATACATTATTATTAATTTGCTTAGGTTTTGGTTAATAAATGCTTTTGTATTTTTTTTTATTTTCTTCTATTTGCAATAGGCTATCTATTATCTTTTAGTTTTTGCTTTTTAATTTATGTTTTACAAAAAGACAAAACATAAAATAAAAATATTTGCCAAACAAAGCCATGAAAAATCATAAAAGTATTGCTTTTAAACGAAGTATTGACCGAACAAAGCCATCATAAAAAATATAATATAAAATAAAAGTATTTGCCATTGCTTTTAATGTCAAAAGTAAAAAAAAAAAAAAAATCATGAAAAGAAATTCGAAATAAAAAAGGAGTTAAAGTGTATTTTTAAAAGAGTACAAAATTTTGGTAAATCAGAAAAACGATTAACAAATAAAATGAAAATGAAAGGAGTAGAGATAGTAAAATTAATTCAAATTTGAAAATCCTTCCAAAATTAAATACTTGAACCCAAACCTAATCAAACTTGAATGGGCGAAAAAAATTAAAGATATGAATTTTTTTTAAAAAATAAAATATTTAAATTCAAAATATTCTAAACTCAAAATAAATCGATTTAACCCTAATTTATAATAACCTGAAACTTGAGACAACCATACCAATAAACGACTGAAATCAACTCGAATTCTAAATCACTCAAATCCTAAACAGATTGTCAACCAAACCCGCCACCTTTAGAAAGGAGTCTATGCAGGAACGGAACCAGATATAAGGCACAGAAGTCAAACAGTGAAGTTAATGGAAAAAAGATGACCGATATTAATGTTAAATCGGCTGAGTTACTATACTACAATGGTGTAAAAGATTTTGGGGCACTTTGGATTCGCCTTTGAGTACATACCTTTAACTTTTTGAAAAGTATTGATGATTGAAAACCCCATGGTGCAAAAATCTTAGCCAGGAACACAGGAGCTGCTGGTTCCCCATTGCCCTCACTTTAAGCTTTGTGAACTTAGTTCCTCTATAAGTCTTCCTCAATGCATAGTAAAACAATTCGGTGCACCGAATGTTTGAATCCCTAAAAGGAAACCAGCCTTCGAATCTTTCCCCTTTTAAATTAAAAAAACCTGCATACTCTTTCAAGGCTCATTAATATTTTTTTTCCCAATAATAATATTTGTTTCACCATTTTTTCTCACTTAAAATGGTAATTTTTTTCCTTTAAATTTTGGAAAAAAAAATTTGGACCCATATCATTGAATAAAAAAAATTATATATACTTTTATCATTGAATTAAATTATTTGTATACATAAGATATGATAAAAAATAGTTTATAAGTAAAGTTATTTCAAGTTATAATTAACAGATAGCTATGAATTATATAGAATGTTTCTTTTTTATCTTCTTTCCCATTTTGTCAATTTCTTATTCAAAGGGAAGTTATACGAACTAATCAAAGGTAAAAGAATATAAAGTGGATGCCAATCTGGTTTCCGGTGACCCCTCCTCAAAGATTCTTCCAATGAAACTTTTGGTGCTAGATATATATGTACGTTCATGCGTCAATCAGCCATAACAGGATCCATGGCTTTAGTTCCTCCTGGAATCCATCGCTGTTCTCTTTTTTATTTTCTTTTCTTGTCCTCATAAATTCTTTTAATATTATCTATATAAAATATAGAATTTGGAAAGAGAGATGTTGATGGGTCAATCTGAGTCATGGTTACTGAAAGTGATTCTCTAAACGCGATGAATTGGATTAGATCACTCCAAAGTACCCATTGAAAGTTGGAAAAGCACATATTGCACTTGGAAGCTTTGAAACAACAATTGCAGAATGATTCTTTCGACGCGGTGAATTAGATCATATCACCCCAAAACATCCCTTGGAGGTCATTGCAGCTGGAAAATTTGAAGCAACATTGCGAACTTGTCAAATTTTTCATACATTGCGGGAGGCTAATGATCTTGCTGATGATCTTGTCAAATCAAATTCGAATAGAGCTCAAAACCTTTTAGTGACTTTACTAGCTACTCCTTGATATTAAATGTACTTTTTCGTTTCTTTATCAATTATAAAGCTTGCTTTTAAAGAAAAGTCTGATTGATACATTCAAAACCTAAGCTCAAGTATGATCCAATTTGTACAATCATTTAAATTTTATTTTCTATTAATATTTTTATATTTTTAAATATAATTTTTTTAAAAAAATAATAATTTATTAATATAGTAATGATCACAAGCCGATTTGGGTCGAGCTTTGGCCTCAAAATTCCTATTGTCCAAACAACACTATTTGAAAATGATCAATAATTTGCATTGAATCATGATATTACTTTAAAAGAGGCATGGTGAAACAGAAATATAATAATAGAGGAATGGAATTTAGGATTTATGTAAGAGCATGATAAGAGGAATTCTCACTGAGTTGTAATGTTGTTTTATGATTAAATTTTTAAAAGATTAATCATAAACCAATATTATTATGCGATAAAAGTTCTCCCACCATGATGTCAAATGAACCCTTAATCCATTTGCCCAAATACGACAAAATTGCTTCAAACTTTACAAGGTCCACAGAAATTTCAAGAACTATGTTAGGCACTGGAATTTCAGAAGATGGTTTGATTGATAACTACATGATATTGGGTAGTTGAATTAGGGTGATTTTGAGTATGAAATTAAACTTTCATTACTAGCTAGCCATAATTAACTTATCCAAATGCATTTGAAAGACTTTTGGTGGTGCCACAAAAATTAAACATGGGAAGAAATTGGCTGAAAACACACAAAAGTAACTTTAGAAAAAGAGAAAAGAATTTGCATAGTGGTTTCACCTTTTCATCCTTAGAAAAAGGAGTCCAGATCGAATGAATAGGAATATTTCATATGTAATCAAGTCAGTCCTCCAGGATTAACCCGGATTCTATATCAGCTCATACTTTTGTCTTTGATTGCTCACATTGCTCTATATATAATTCCCCAAAGCCCCAGGCCTTGCAATATACAATTTAGAACTGAGAGAAATAATATGAATCCAAGTTTTGTGGAGCTTAGCTTGAGTCTTAAACCATCTTATGTGCCTAAATACTTAAGTAACTTGCTCTTAGATCTGTCGGAAATTGGTAATGAGGAGAAGTTACCGGTGTTGAGTGATTATATTTGCAAGCATCAGGAGGAGTTAAGCAGGGTTGAGGCTTTAAAGCATGAACTTCCTCAATGCAGGCTACTTCTAATGGAGGGTAAGTCTATGTTAAATATCTTCTTTGCTGATTATAAATTCAAAGAAATTCTTTCATCTCTATTATTGAAGATTTTGACTGTTTTTTTTTTTTTTGATGAGATGTGTAGCAATTGAGACATTGAAGGAGGAATTCATGAACATAAAGAATAATATAGAATCTCAGTCAGAACAGCCTGATCTAGTGGAGTATTTGTCAACAAAGAGGAAAAACAACGAGCAGGAGCAAAGGGAAATTACATACAATCCTGATCAAGACCACTGTAACCCTAGTCATAATGCAAAGAGGCGGAAACCATTACTCCTAGATAACTCCCAGCAGAAACCATTAGTACTCCTAGATAACTTCCAGGTAAATACAAAGATGGTAATCGTTCAACTTGTTTTTCTGGATCACATACAATAATTAAATACATATTGTCAAATTATATGAAATTTTCATTTCAAATTTTAACAAAATTAACATTTCACCTTCATGTTACTAATGTGGACTTTTTTTTTTTTTTGTCAATATACATTGAAAACGTGGAAATATCATTCTTGAACATGCCAACTCGACATTTCCCTTTAATTTTTCCTTCTTTTTCTTTCTTATTTTTTCTTACTTTTTCTTCTTCTCTCTTTACATCTTCCTCTTTCACTACTTTGAACCTTTCAAACCACCTACCACACTATTCTAGAAACTGGCCATCAAAACCGCTGTTGACCGCCATGCTGTACCACCAACTGCCGGTAGTCACCGTGGGATCTCCGCTAAAATCCACTGAAAGGATCCCCTTTCCCTCCTTTTTCACTCTAGCAAGTTAATTTTTTTTTTAAAACCTAAAATACCCTAACTCTACAATCCAAACTCGCAGTCTCACCATCCAAAAAAACTCCATCTCCACTGCTCGAAATCACAACCCAAACTTCAATATGACAGATATTAAGTGTTTGTCAAGCTCAACATTTAGTAATGATCTTTTCTACGGAAGGTCATGACAAAAATGAAACCAAAATGGAAAGAGACAAAAACCAGAAGAGCACTGAAAGATATGAATGCTTAAACGCTAAGAATATCCTCCAATGAGATTCCTGAGCACAAAATAGACTATGTTGGGGCAGTCCCAAGTATGTCCTATTCCCTGATTGTAGTGGATGGAGTAGCAAATGTAAAAGCGGTGGTCCAGCTTTTAACTTATATCTCAACCATTATATGCTGATCCAGTCTAGCTCTTTTTGTGCTCCGTACATTACAATCACATATATCAAAATTGTTAGACCTTTAATGGTTTCCAGAGGTGCTCGACAACAACAAAATGAGTTGCAGGCGTTTAAGCACCACATCCCGTCAAGTTCCTAACATCCAATCCCCAGGTCACTGCAAAGAGCAAGATCTAGCAAGGAAACAAGGCAACACTTATGAAGAAGGTTTGATAACTGGCGAACAAAGTAAGCCTCAATTTCCTCCTCCAGTTTGGAAAAAAAAAATATTTTTTACTTATAACTGATAAAAGAGTTTAAGGGTTCATAACAGAATATGACAAGATGATAAGCTTTTTAAAGGGTTTCCGATCGGGAATTTTGGGTTTTTGGATTAGGTAAAATGAGGATGTAAAGATGGGCCTTTACCATCTGATTGATATTTCCACGTTTGCGGTTCGAGTCAGGAAAATAATGGTGGAATGTTAATTTTGATAAAATTTGGATTGAAATTTCAAATTTAAAAAAGTAAAAAACTTGATTTAATCAAATTATTATAGATGGATTAAATCTTGGTTTTGGTCAGAATATAAGAACTAATTTCATAATTCGAGCAATAGATATATATTTTCTTTCAACTTGTTGAATAAAATATATTCTTTATGACTCTCTCTAGCCTCGCAATCTCAAAGCAATTCGGCCATGCAAACAGTTATTGGTTCCATACAAGGAGTGTAATTCGAATTCCATTGGATCATCAATTACTGGAGAGGAAAAGCTGCAGGATGTACCCATGGATGATCAATATTCATCTAGAAATCAAGGTTTCTTGTATCTCAAGACAGATGATAGAATTCAAACTCTTAATTATTACCCAAAGCCATTGACTCAACCCATTTGGAAGAATAACAAGAGATGTTGGTCATCTGAGCTTCATGCAAGATTTGTGGAGGCTCTAAATCTGCTTGGAGGCATTCAAGGTCAGAACTTATTAAATATCACAAAATTTTTTTGATGGTTAATTTAAATGCTCTTTGATTTTCTATAGTTTGTAATTTAGTTTGATAATTTATTGATAGCAAAATACATCTACTTAGAATCCAAATTTTAATCACAGTTGATTAATGCAGCCAATTTTTTTTTGTTTTTAAAGGGAGCAGAACCCTACAATAAAGGGAGAGGAGGTAAAGTTGGGGTCGAACCCCAACCTTGGTATCTTCTTTTAAGGCTTGCTTGACCACTAGGCCAAGAAGCTAAATTATCGGCTTGAGCCTTTAATCACAGTTGATTAATGCAGCCAATTTTAAAATAACATCTAGTAGTTCTAATTAAAGCTCCCTTTTTGCATGGAAATTAAGTTGATCACAAGTGCATGGATCTCATTATTTTCCCCTTTGATAATTAATTTGTATCTTTTTTTTTTACAGATTTGATTTTAATTGTGATGTATTTTTTTAATTATTTTTATTCATTGACCTTTTGTTGGGCAGTGGCTACTCCTAAGCAAATCAGAGACCTCATGCAGGTTGAGGGGCTTACAATTGATCAAGTAAAGAGTCACTTGCAGGTTAAATTCGATATTGTTAAACTTAATATTGCATGCATCACGTTTATATACAGTTCATGAATATCGGCTCGGCAAAAAGTACTTCAAATTTTGACACAGTTCTAAATTGAAACAAGATATATGTCACATAAAATCATTTTATAGATCAAAGATGTAAGGAAAAAAAGATAAAATAAGAAACAAAAATTTAAAAGAACAAAGTAGTAGAAATTAAATGGTCATATATCGAATACTAGTTTTCTATAAAGTGAGCTTTTGTGCACAAGATTACTTGTCCAATTAAACCAAGATATATATTTTTACTATTATTATTTATTTTGTTTACTATAATTAATGTTTTATTAGAAACTATTTTATTAGTGGGTCTTTTAGAGTTTTAAAGTTTTAGTATAAGGGTATAACTATGTTATTTTGTTCTGAGTTTGTAAAAAACTAAAACACTAAAGAGGTTGTGAGGCTTGAGAGATTAAGATTGCGATTTTGTGTCTGTGTGACTGTAGCTCAAAGAATTATCTCGTGAAACCCAGTTGGGATAAATAAAAATTGTGTGAATGTGTGGTCATCTCCATTAAAGTTATCGGTTGACAGTTTTTGTCAGATAAATAAAATTGGTTTATTGTGTTGTTTTTTTTGTGATTACAACGATTCCTCTATAGAGATGTAAAAAATGCAAAATAAATTACTCAAAACATAAATATTGTTTCATATTGTTTATGATAATATATAAAAGAAACCTTATAATGATCAATTTGCTTACACTATAAAAATATAGTATGATTTTCAAGTAAAGATTTGATATGTATGTAACATGGTTGGTGCTAACAAGAATCATAGAAAAATACTGTTGAATTGAAGTAAAACTTTTGAAAACTACATACACATACTCTCTCCCTGTGAAATTAATATCTAAAAGCATCTAAAATTAATTGTTTAATCATTATTTTTACAAGATTTGTTTATCTTTTTTTTTTTGTTACATCAGGAAGTCAAAGCCTTATTACAAATAAAGAGGAAGGGAGAGGCCTGATTCGAAACCAGGCCCTTGATGTCCCTTCAAAGATTAAAAATTATTTTTATATCTTTAAAACCACTAATTATCATTTAAATTTGCAGTTTTGAAGTTTATTTCCCTGATTGTATCTGCAAAATTAGAACCATTAATTCCCATTTTGACTGTTTTGGATGACAAAAATCTACTATGCAATTTCAGAAATATAGACATCATTGTCGTATGGTTCTGGCATCTTATTTCGGTCGCTTGGTATAAAAAAAGAAAAAAGAAAAAAACAAGGATCGTATTGGCTCTTTAATCAGGTTGCCAGTAATGGCTAATCTTCTTGAAGTCATTTGTGCTCCTTTTGGTCACAAGCAATGCTTCTCAAAATGGAAGGCAGACTAATTTGGTCATTTTGGCTCGAAAACTGGAGAAACTAGAGAGCTTGCCACCTAGCTATGGCTATGATCTCTCCCTCTCTTTGTCTTCTGTCTACTAATAAGTGTAGGTGATCACTAATCGATTACCATTGGTTAATATATATACCATTTGGCATTCCTAATTGATCAAAGGCCTTTTCTTTTTTTTTTTTCCATGGAGGCTTTCTGTTCATCACTTATCCATTATGTACTATAAACATTATGTTGATTAAGGTTAATTGAGTTTTATGACAGAACTTTTTAGATCCAATCAGCCCTAAATCCTGGCATTAATTGAAGATTATTATTCCAATTAATTAAAGAGTATTAGGAAGTGAAATTATATATTTATGTCCTTTCCCTTTGGTCTTTATTAAAAATAAATAAAGTATTTTAATTTGTAAATAATAATAATAATAATTCATAATATTATGTTGATCACTATTCAGTCAAAATTTTAAAATCTGTACGTAATTATTTGTAATTAAAAAACCTTAGAAAAAATGCTAAAAAAAGCTTACTTTAATTAGTTTTCTTTTGATTTAAAAGAAAACCAAAATTTGATTGAACAAAAGCTAAAAACAATTGTGTATAAGAAAAAGTGCGCGAACGTGGATATATATAGGAATTGGTGACTAGCAAAAATGGCTGATCTATCAATGAGATAAAGATAAAAAGCAAACAAAAAGCAGCAGCGAATTGCTAAAATAAAAAAGAAAACGCAAAAGGATAAGAATAAAAAAAGCTTTCGAATAAAAGAAGTTTTCGAATAAAATTTTAATAATTATTTAAATTTTTAATATTTTTATTATAATGAATTAAATTTTTAATTTTTTATTTAATTGAACTTTTAATTAGATAATATTTAGTTATATAATAAAATTGAATCAATTAATTTTTGAATTACAATCAATTAAATTCTTTAAGATATTTTAGGAAAAAAAATTAAAGAAAAAAAGAAAAATTTTTATTTTATTTAATTTGGGAGCTTTTCCAATGAAAAAGAGCCAATGGATGTATGTGAATAAAAGAAATATTTGAAAATTAATTGATAATAAAAATAATAAAAGTTTGAATTATTATTAAATTTTAATATAAAAACTTTGATTTTCACCCCTTTAGCTTTAAAATATTTATATTTTTTATTATAACATAAACATAACCACGTGATAAAGCAAATGACAAGAAAATTCCACTTGATTAAGATATAATGACATGTAATGCCAAGTGGAAGGTTCGATATCTTTTAAGTTTTAACAATCGAACCACCAAATTAAACAATAACATTTATAAATATCGATGATCAAGCCATTATTTTTAATGAATTGACTGACCAAGCAAGTTAAAATATCTCAAAAAGTTAAATACTTTAAAATGCGAAATACTCAATTTAAAATTACAATGCAAGGTCATTAGCATGCATCTTTTATTCCATAACGTTTATCATATTTTCCAAATGTTTGAATATTAAATCTGTAAATTAAAAATCTAAACTATTAGAAGCCAAATTATTAATTTGGAGCATTTATTTTTTATGTTTCACTTTTTAGAGAAATAAGGTCTTGAGAATTGGGTTCTTTTTGCTTTTGTCACTTGACAATGATTACTTAGGCAAATTGCTCACATGGCATGTTATCATGAAAATTTAAGAACATATACTTTTTATTTTTTATATATTTCCTTTCTCTTTTATTATTTTTTGCCACGTGTCAAAATTAAATTCATATCATGAATGTGATGCAGCATTTACGTGTTATAAGTAGAAAAAAGAATCTTCAAATTGTATAAATATTTTCATGGGTTAAGTATATATTTGGCTCATGAACTTTATGAATTTCGTCGTGTTGGTTCCCAAAATTTTTTTCTATCATATAAGTTTTTGAACTTTGATTTCGTAATTTAATTTACCCTAAAATTTAATTCCATTAGAAAAAAAAAAGTTGATGTATTTTAAATAACTAATCAAATAACGTTGACTATCAACAAAAATTTTATGTCTTTAACCTGATTTTTTTCTACGTGATTAAAAATTCACATCAAATATCAACCTTAAAATAAAAAAAATTTAACACTTTCATTTTTTTATCGAAATAAAAAAAAAATTCAAAAAACTACTTTCTCTGGAAAAGAAAAAAATTATTAGTTTAAGAAAAAAAACACTCGATAAACAAAGAGGGATTAGGTTTTGAAATTCAATCTTTGTAATCGTTCTAAACTATGTAATTGAAATGTAATATTTAGGGCAATTGATTAGGGGTTTTACGTTTAGGGTAATCGATTAGTTTTGAAATTCAGGGTTTAAATTAGTGACAGTGTGAGTTAAAAGTTTAAAAGTAGGATATTATAATCAACTTATAAAGTGAGAAATTGATTCAAATTTTTAGGACATTTGATTGTAGATTTTAGCAAAGGAAAATTTCAATATCAAGTCAAACTTAAAATCCAATTCAGTATCTAATATTGTTAAATATTTTTTTGTATTTGAGCAGCCATAAAATTTTTTCCCTATATTCCATGGAGTAGTGGATATGCAAATTAGAGCCATTAACCCACAATGACAAAAAAAAAATTTAAATAATTTGTTGATTTTGAACTTGAGGTAAATCTATTTTTTACCATTTGAAAAAGATTAAAGAAAAAAACATGAAGATTGAAGCAGCTTCCTTACATACCTAGAAGAAGTCATGATTTCAAACCTTAAATACCCACATTATAATCCCTCTTTGTTTCTGTCAACTATTTCTTCTTCTTCTTTTTCTTTTTTTTTTCTTTTTAAACTTACAGAAAAATAAGCTAGCATCGTTAACTTTTTTTATCTTGGTTAAAAAATAAAAGTATTTTTTTTTTTTGGTTTTAAGGTTGATATCTTATGCAGATTTTTAATGACGTAAAAAAAATGGGTTGAAGAGATGGAACTTTTGTTGATAATCGGTGTTATTTGATTGGGCCATTTAAAACACGTCGATTTTTTTTAATAAAGTTAAATTTTAAGGTAAACGGACTTTTGAAATTAAAGTTCAAGTACCAATATGATAGAAAATTTTTTTAAGTACCAATGTGACAAAAATAATAAAGTTCAAGGACCAAATATGTATCAAATCCTATTTTCATCTACAAAATAATTTAATTAGACATAAAAAGTATACCTAGACATAATTAATTGTAACAAAAAAATATGTCCATATTTTGTATTTTCCTAAATATTGATATCCACTATTTTATTGGGATATTTATTAGTGTAATAGTTTCTCTTTGTTAATGGAAGTCTTTAAAATAGGTGATAAAAAAATTCTCTGTTATTATGTTTTTTTAACTATTTTAAAAAGAAGGATTTGGATTAAAACAAAATATATATTTGCATTTATCATTAAATTAAATGCTTAAATATAATAGGATAATAAATAGTTTATTACATAAATTTGTGGTAAAATTAATCTAGCAAACCATAAATAGGTCATTCAATTTGTTAAATAAATTATTTCAAGTTAAACCAACATATAAGAATTATGAATAAAATTTTAATATACTTTCTTCTACCCTCCTTCCCATTTTGTCAAATTCTTATTCAAGTAAAGTTATGTCATCCAAATCTAAGGTAGAAGAACATAAAATGGATGCCAATCTTTGTTGTCTCCTCATCCACAAAAAGATTCTTATAATAAAACTTTTGTTGGAGATATCTATGTTCATGATCATGCATCAACCTGCAACCAGCTTTCTTTAGTTTTTTTTTTTTTTAATATGATTGCTTTCTTTTTAGTTTTGTTTTTTCTTGACCTCATAAATTCTTTTCTATATAAAATTTGGAATTTGTGAATGGTCATTATTATTCAAGTATTGTATCATTTATTTTTTTGGTTCTGAACTGATAAGGGCATTTGATAGTCAAAAGAGTATGATGGTCTTTTTCTCTTTTGGGACCCTTCAGCAAACAACTAAAGGTATTTTTATTATTTGTGTTGACCTAACATGTTAGGTCATTTAACATACTCAGTGCGATATCAGCTTGACACTATCATTATTGTCCCTTGATGGTCCCCTACAACTTACCTATAAAAATGAAGGTTTAGGCATCATTAAGGCAAGTTCATTCAACTCCATTTCTCTTCTTTTTATTTTATTTTTGACTTGAATCCTTTAGACTTGCATGTCAAAGTACAAATACAGAGAACACACCCTACTTTTGCCTCTAATCGTTATTCTTTTCTGTCTTTCTAGGTTTACCTTGAATTCATTATTTTATTTCTGTATTTTCATGAGTTAATTTGCCTCAACCGTCAACATTATTAACCATAATGTTAACGCGACATAAACATCCAATAAGATACACATGTCAAAAAATACAATCAACATTATATCATAAACATCTAATGTGATAAACGTGTCAAAAAATACAATCAATACTACATCATTAATGTCACGTTAGTATTAAAAGAAATTTTTTTAAATATTCTAAAAATATTGTAATTTTTTTTTCATTTTTGCTTTTCTCTTTTTCTCTCAAACATAAAGTCCCAAAATTTGAAAATTGAAGAACAAGGCTACCATATTTTCCCATTTTTCAGAAACTAATCACTAGCTATCGTCGTCACCGCTATCGCCTGGTTGTCGTTGATCGACCTCTATTGACACCCAAATTTTAACATGAACTTCTTTTCGACCTCTTCATTCTAAATCTGGACTCGAATTTTGACAAATCAATCTCCAATGTACCAAATCTAGAGCTAAAGCTTTAGCCTTTCCACAATGGTTTGAGCTTTTTTCCACGTTCGATCTTCGTGAGTTTTCAGTATGTCATTTCCTTCATCACTCTTTTCCTTTCCATCATTCGGATCTTCAAGCACTCAAGTTGCAGCTAGCCCTATCCCCCGCATGTAAAAGTGTTCCTTCATCAGACAGCCTATGGATCCAGTAAAGTAAAATGATTTGCTCATCTGAAATTGTAAAATCCATAGCTCGCCTTCCAAAAACCACCTCTAACACAACAATCCCAAAACTGAAGACATCAGATTTAGCAATAGCCACACTTCTTTTTTAGAAGCTATCTCGTGGCAGATACCCAATTATGCCACCAATCTTTGTTGTGTCAGCCAAACGAAACTAGTGCCTTTTTGTTGCTAGTGTCTTGAATTGGTACTTGAGTTCATGTTCAAGCCACCGTGCCAAGCCAAAGTCACCTAGTCGTGCATTATATTATGAGTCAAGCATCATGTTGCTTGTCTTAACATCCCGGTGTATAATCCAAGTTTCCAATTGTTCATGGAAAGAGAACAATGCCGTTGCCAGGCCTCCAACAATTTTCCTCCTGCGCTTCCAGTTCAAAAGAGCTACACCCATGTTTTTAGGCCTTCTAAAGAGTACTCTTTCAAGGCTCCGATTGGGCATGTAGTCATAAACCAAGAGCAACTAGTCTTCATGTACATACCAACCCCTTAACCAAACAAGATTTCTATGGCGCAAACCAGCCACAGCCACCAATTCTGCTACAAAGGTCTTCTTAAACCTCTCCCCTTTCTCTGTCAAACATTTAACAGCAACCACTGTTCCATCACTGGTAAAACTGCTTTATACACTTCCCCAAAACCCCCCACTTCCAAGAATTTCATCTTGGAAACTGTTTTATAGATTTTTTTTTAATTTTAAAAACTTTTTTGAATATTTTGAATATTTTTAGAATTTTTTTAAATTTTTTTTAAATTTTTAAATTTTTTATAATTTTAACTTTTTGGAATAATTTTTTTTTAACTTTTTGAAATTTTTTGAAATTTTTTGAAATTTTTATGAATTTTTTTAATATATGACTTTAATTATGTGATATTAATTAAAATTTTTTGTATGTGTAAATTTTATTAAATATTTATATTACGTTTAAGATTAATGGTATTAAATATTGAAATAATTTAATACATAAAAATATAATTTATGTTACCGATTAAAGTTTCTTTTATTTAATTACCATATTACAAAAATAAAATAATTCAGAAACCAAATGAAATATTATCCCATCATAAATTAAATTTTATTTAAATAAAAGAATTGACTCTCACCGTTACTTTACTAATTACCAAAAAATTTTAAAATAGGTTTTTCGATCCTTTTTTCCTTCCGCAGCATCACTTCCAAGTTTCAACAAAACATACTTTTGCTCCCACAGTACCATCACCACCGCTGGCCGCTCCGTCGCCACTCTCCTTCATCGCGTTCGGTCGCTTATATTCATTTTTCTGTCGCTTCTATTCGCTTCGGAGTCCCGAGAACCACCGGTTGTTCGTTGCTCCCATTCTCACCGATCTCTCCATTGATTTATTCCCTTCAGGTTTGTTTTCTTTGAGCTCCTGAAGTCCTCCTTTTTGTTAATTTTCCTCATTTTGATTTCTTCTATGAGTTCTTCATCGATCCTTGTCACTTGTATCGTAAGACATTTCTCTGCTTAATCCTATTAGATATATTTGGAGAGAGAGAGAGAGAGAGAAAGATTGTTGCTTTGTAATGCTTGTGTCTTTCTTCAATTTCTCATTTTCAAGGTTTGAACATCAGCTCTCACTCTCAGGTTCACGGCTTTCCTTCAAGATTTGTTGTAGATTTGGTCTCTTTTAATTGATTTAAGAAAAAGATTGATCTTCGAACTCATGGTTAAATTGAGAAATTCAGCAACAAGATCTGAAAGTTTAGAGTATATAATATTCGTAGGAGTATTCCTATTTATTTATTTGCTTTTATGATGTTTCATGACATGTTTTAGTTAGCTTCCATTGGTCATGCTCTAGGCCTTTACAGCAAGATTTTCATTATGATAAAGATGAGGCAACAAGATGCATGAGAATGAATGAATGTAAAAACAAAAAAAAAAAAAAATCCATCATCCATTTTCAGTTTACTAAAAACAAAGCGCAATGACATGAGCAATGTGATTGCACATGGCCCTCCAACTCAAGATAATTACAAAAGCTTATTATGAACTTCTTCAATAATCTTAACAAGTTTATATATATCCAGTTTAATAGGTCCGAATTCCCCATTATTTTAGCGTTGGCCCATATGTATGAGAAGTCTTAAGTGAATGATTTTGTGTTAAAATATATGAAATGGATGGACACACAGAAATGGGAATACAATGTATAAATATAAAAATAAAGAACTATGAGGCAAATAAATTCTATCCTTGAGACATGAGAAGAGAGTGACTACTTTGGTTCTTAATTAGGGATATCAAACTTGAAATCACGTAAGTTAGTGGAAAGCTAGCTAAGTGTTTCTAATTTATGTTATAGTGATTTGACATTTCTTTGTAAGAAGGAAACAACAGTTCTTAATTGCATTATTTTTGCATCCGATAGATGGTGAGTCAATTTATTGTGGATATTTGTATTTCTTCTATAGCTTAAGATTTTGTGTTTTTTTTTTTTTTTTGGAGGGGGGGGGGAATAATTTACGTCCTGCAGTCATTTTTTTTGCTGATTACACCAAGAATCATGGCTTAATGATTACATTGCATGTAAAAATTCAGAACCTCAATATAGAGCCCATTTGTTTGCCATTTAACCCTAGCTATGGATCAAGGTTTTCCACTATCTTTAATTATTCTCTTATTCTTGCTTTATTAATTAATTTTCTGTTCTTTCTTTCCTGTTCGACATAGTATTTTTCTTCCTTTTCACCATAGTATTTCCTTATTCTTCTTTCTTTAATTACATCCTTTTCAACAATTCTTATTATTGGTGATATTCTTTTTAAATGTGTCAGCAACCTCCTCCGCCTCTACCCTTCAACTTATTGCTTCTTCACAACCCAAAGGTAGATGGACTACTTCATAAACCCAAGTTTGTACATTGCTTTTCTGTGGGTTTCACTCAATCCTAGTTGCTGATTAAATTAAAGCTACAATATATTTATCATCAGATATCAATTTTAGTACCATAATCACTTAACTGTAAGGAGGATAATGAATCATGTTTGTCTCCAACTATGTAACATTTTTGTATTAAATGGTGGCCTCCATAACTTGAACTTCTGCTTCTACTCTTGTCAGCTCAAGACTTCTACCATTTCATTGGATAACAGTTCTTTCTGTAGATTGATAGCAATCCAACAAGATATTTTATGTATTTATTTTACTAACAAAACGGATTTGTTTGGTTGTGAATGAGTCTGATTGTTATTTTTGGACACAAAATGGTTGCTCAACATGTTGATATCTTTCCTTTCTGGTCCAGTGTTTCCTTCTAAAATAGAGCTAATGTTTTATTTCTGTTGACTTTACAGCACAACTGGAGAAAAATATCACATTTTGTGTGTCTTAATCTTGCGGCCAAGATGGTAATCACAATATAATGTACTTGGTCAATTCTTTTAAATTTTTAATTTCACATAATTGTAGTCGACTTTTGAATGTTCAACGAAAAGTTTTCTCCCTTCCTCTGCAGCAGGTTCAGTAGGCAAAGGAGGGGGGGGGGGGTTTATAATGTACAGGGCCTCGCATACACATGTGTAGACAATACACCCTTGCTAATAGCTAGACATGGTAATAACATTGTGTTTTTTATTCTTGTTAGATGTCTAAGGATGTGGAGCGTCCTATATTCAATGGTCCCAAAGACTCTGCTCTGTCTGGTGAAGCACAAGTAACATGGTATGGTAGTTTACTCAAGCAAGTATCTGTCTATGGAATAGCAGCAGGATACTGCATCTCAGCTTCTCTTCTCTCCATCATCAACAAATGGGCTGTCATGAAATTTCCTTACCCAGGGGCACTAACTGCTTTGCAGTACCTGACAAGTGCAGCTGGTGTATTCCTCTGTGGATGGTTCAAGGTCATAGAGCCTGATCCACTTGACCTTCTGACAATGTGGCGATTCCTACCTGCAGCCATTATATTTTATCTGTCTCTCTTCACCAATAGTGAGCTCCTCCTACATGCTAATGTTGACACTTTCATTGTCTTCCGTTCAGTAGTTCCCATGTTTGTTGCTATGGGAGAGACCCTTTTCTTGCACCAGCCATGGCCTTCCATGAAGACATGGATCTCATTAGGCACCACCTTTGGTGGCAGTGTGCTTTACGTTCTTACTGATTACCAGTTCACATTAACTGCCTATACTTGGGCTGTTGCATACTTGGTAAGCATGTCTATAGATTTTGTCTACATAAAGCATGTGGTTATGACTATCGGTCTAAATACATGGGGTCTTGTACTGTACAATAATCTTGAGGCTCTCCTATTGTTTCCTCTTGAGCTACTTATAATGGGGGAGTTGAAGAAAATAAAGCATGAAATCTCAGATGAGTCTGACTGGTACTCTTTTCAAGTGATTTTTCCTGTGGGTTTATCATGTTTATTTGGGTTGGCCATCTCTTTCTTTGGGTTCTCATGCCGAAGGGCAATTTCTGCTACAGGGTTCACTGTTCTTGGTATAGTTAACAAGCTATTGACAGTTGTGATTAATTTGGTTATTTGGGACAAACATTCGACTTTCATGGGGACCATGGGGCTCTTGATTTGTATGCTAGGTGGGGTTATGTATCAGCAGTCTACAACCAATAAGCCCAAAGCTGTTAATGAAGCTGCAGTACAAGAGAGAGAGGAGGAACAACTGAATTTACTTGAAATGCAAGGCAACACAGAGGGCAATAACAATGAAAAGGAAGTCATTGAGATAGAAGAGAAGTGAAAGGGTTTAAAATAGGAGCATTCTGGGCCTTCTTCCATCTGCACATGAAAACCATTCTGCAATTCAACATGGCTGATGAATTCTTGGGGGAATTTGTCATCCAAACAACAATCTCTGTATGCACAGATACTTGAATCGAAGATTCAGGCTCAGGTCTAATGCATATATGGCGTTTAATCTGGTCAGTCTTTTGTCACCCTAACTCAAAACTTGACCTTTTCAAATTGATACATGATTTCTATTTCTCATCCAACAAACTAGGATGGGAGGGAGTTTTGCATTCTTTTGTTTATATTACTATCATGAACATTTATTAACCCAAGCAACCCTCACCATCTTACTGGTGCCTAAGATTATTAATGCCTTTATTGTATGAAGGGGAAGTCAGGCCCTTTCCTTTTACCGCATGTCATTGGCATATTGGATGGTTTCCTTTGGAAGAGTATATGGGCTGGTGTGTTGGGTGGATTCTTAAGGGATATTACCTGGGATAAAAACGACACCGTCCGGCTTTATTGATTCTTTATCAGGTATGGTGGTTTCGTTTTATCGGCTAAGGGGGTTGAGGGTATGGTGCCATTCCCATTTTCAGATTTCAAGCATTCACAATCACAAGGGTCATTGAGGGCAGAGGATTTACAAATTATATGGTCCGTTTTATTGGGCGTGACCTTTACCAGGAAAAACCTAACTTCATCTTCATGACATTAATGTAAAGGCTTAAATAAATATATAAAAAAAATTTAAATAAAAATTAAATAATTATCTGAGAATTTATCATTTTATTATAATTAATTCATTCTTTAAATATTTATTTTTGTTTAATTAAATTTTTAAATATTTATTTTTATTTAATTGAATATTCAATTAGATGAAAATTGGCTTTGATGGTTAATCAATTTTCATTTAATAAAGACTTAATTTAATGAAAATAAATGTTTAAAAGATTGAAAATAAATATTTAAGAGTTCAAGTTTTAATTGTAATAAAATGATAAAAATAAGCAGCAGCAGTACAGGTATTCAAAACATGCACCTTCACTAGTCAATATTCAGTCATCGTCGGTATAAAGTTATGTTCTAAAAATAAAAAAGAAGTCGTTGGTAAAAATCACTTTTCTTTATAAAAAATAAATGGTACTGCAGTGAAAAAGAAAAAGAAGTCGTTGGTAAAATTATTTTCCTTTACAAAAAATTGTATTACTTCACCGCTAAGTGGATGACCTGTCTTGTCATTCCCATCGAGTAAAAGTTAGTTTTGTTCTGCTCTTTTTCAAGATCTTTCTTGACTTCTGTTACATATAATAAGGGATGATGAAATTGCATCACCAATATGATGATAGCAGTTTACAAGTACAAATACTTGAAAGCCATAAATTTATTTAATACTAAATAAAATAAATGAGTAAAAATTCTCCCTCTCCCAAAAAAAAAAAAAAAAAAAAAAACCAAAGTAGATTCAATAACACCAATATAACTTCAAACATCATAATTTTGGGAAAATTAAAATGTTTCTTGAAAAAAGTGAGAAAAATTCTAAATCCAGATATAATACCATCCGTCCCATTAAAAATGTCACATATTGATTTTTTTTGTTGAAATGTTTTAAACTTTTACCTCTTATTATTTTATATTTATTACAAATAAAATATAAAAAATACATTTTTAAAACTTTGAATGAAGTAATTATATGTTTTGTAAAATTTAATTAATTAAAATCTATAAAATAATAGCAATCAAAGTTAAAATATTTTAACAAAAAAAAATGTGACAATTTAAATGAGACAGAGATATGCAACATAAATATTACTAAATTTTATAAACCAAAGTGAAAAAGCCATAAAAAATATTAACTGTGTAACCGCAGGGAGTAATTAAACCACCTAATCCAAAAGAATTGGACATTAACACAAATGGTTGATTAGCAAATGCAAATGGAATTAACAGACGTGACTATCACTCCTACTTGCAATATACGTGATCTCATGAGTATATTGATATATCAATAAATTTATATATAATTTATTTTTAAATTATAAGATAAAATTTTATATTTATGAACAATTCAAAATTTATATACTTAGAATTATGTAACGTGAAATATAATAAAATAAAATAAAATATTTGTTTTAAATATAACATAAACCTTAAGCTCCTTAACATATAAAATAAAATTAAAATATTAAAACAGACATTTAATATCTTATACTCAAGTTACACAAAAAAACAATTATATATATATATGAGGAGATAAGCCTTAAAATAAAAAAATTATAATAGAAGGATAGGAAATATGAAGAAAACAATTAAATTTTAGAATAATTTTATTCATTGAGACTTTTTTTTTTTGTAAAATGGAGAATCTGAGAGAACAAATCGAAACTCATATGCTAATTTCAAAAATGAAGAATATGAGAGAATCAATCCAACTCAGATACTAGAAACAACGTAGATACTTCTGTGGAGCATGACTAAATATTATTGTTTTTTAAGTTGAACCATATTAGATAATATTTGTAATGTTAAAGGTCAAATAAAAAATAGAAAATAAAATTAATTAAGAGAGATATAAGCTATTAAAAATAAATTTGATTAATTTAAGAAAAATTAAAAATTAAAATTAAAATTAATTAAAAGAAATTTAATCTATTAAAAGAAATATAATTAATTTGATTAGAATCAAATTAATTAAAATTTAAAATTAATTGAGAGAGAAATTTAAGTTATTAAATATAAATGCAATTAATTTGATCAGAATCAAATAAAATTAATTTAAATTGAAGATATTAAGTAATAGATATATGACAATTATTCAAGCCTATCTACCTGTCAAAAAATTATACTGTCACATAAGGTAATTATCTTTTCTTTTTCCAAAAACTTTGGTATTTATATATTTACATAAGATTAGAATAGTTTGTTAAACCCCTGGGTTTCGTTCCTTTCATTACTTTTCTTTTGGTTATTGTATTTTGCATTTATTTCGATTATTGGGTTTCATCAACAACCATGGATTTTGCTGTAGTAAAAGGAGTAGCAGAGAATGGTTTAACTGTGGAGTGGATCAAACGTAAGAATCTTGGCCTGGGTTCCTATGGAGTTGTTCATTTAGTGAAACCGATAAACTAGGTTTATGATGACGATCAAGTTTTTGCTGTGAAATCTTGTCTTCACCAAGATTCTTGTTCACTTCAAAAGGAACTAGAAATCCTTGAGCAATTTGCTGGTTGCGGTACAATTGTTGAATTCTATGGGGATATGTTGAGCATTGATCAAGGGATGTTGGTTTACAACTTGTTCCTTGAATATGCTCCTGGTGGTAGTCTTTTGGATTTGATGATCGAGAAATATGGGGGCTACATACCCGAATGCGAAGCCAAGTGCTACGCAAGAATGCTGCTTGAAGGGGTTCGGGATATTCAACAGAGAGGCTGTGTCCATTGTGCTCTCAAGCCAGCAAATATCCTTGTTTATCCTCCTGATCAGTATGGTTCCATTAACAGTCTAAAGATTGCCGATTTTGGCCTGGCTAGGCTACCTGGAGACAGAGATATGGCAGAGGTAGGAACTTTTCCAGGTACTCCAGTTTACATGCCACCAGAAACTGTTTTTGATGGGAAAATCAGTGCTGCTTTGGATATATGGTCCTTAGGATGTATTGTTCTTGAGATGATCACCGGAAAAACTACCATGGGAATTTCAGGACCCGAGGCATTTGGCGATCAAGATTGCATTTTCGAGATATCCACCAAAAAGACCCAAACCATGTCAAGCACAGGGAAAGATTTATTGATGAAATGTTTTGCAAGGGATCCTAGTGAAAGGTGGACTGCTGATATGCTGTTAAGCCATCCTTTTACCCTTCCAGAATACCCTTTGTGGCCATCTCCAACAAAATCTCTTCACCATGCTCAAGTTGATAGTTGTCCTCCTTCCATGGTGGAACTTGACGATGTGTGCCTAGCTATTTTTTGATAATTGAATTTTTATTATCCAAAAACAATAGTCCGGAGGGTACCATCAATCTCCTTAGCATTTTCCAATCTTTCATTTCCACCATTAATGTCATCCTTTATATCATTAAATTCACGATCTGTTGCAGACAATTTCTTTGGAGATTTGGTTTCATTACTTGTGTCCTAGACCTCTGTATAAATGTATACTTTTTCCTAGTCTTAACCAAGCAGTTTCCTATCATAGTTGTAGTTTCTGTATTGAATGCTAAACCCCATTATCTTTAGACGGCTAGATAAATGGTTAATATTATGAATGACTTATGAATTATAATAAAATATTTAATATGATATTTAAATCTTAAAAATTTATAATGTGATATTTACTTTTAATATGATTAACTTCAAATAATGACACATAAAATATAAATAATCATTTAAGTACCATATTAATTAACAAATTTATAATTTAAGTATCACATTAAAAATTTTTTTAAATTCAAATATCATATTAAACATTTCACTATAGATTAAGATCATTCTTAATATTATCTCATAAACAAATAAAAATACATTATTGTTGCAGCTGCTCCACATGGAAAGTTTATCAATATATAATTAACTGGCCAACTGAAGAAATCTGAAACGGGAGAGAAAGTAATGAACTGATATTAGTTGGTATTACAATGTTGCATTTCATATTTATTTTTTCTGATGCATGGAAAGTGGAGTTCCCTATAAGTTTAAGAACGTTATGATTTTTTTTTTTCTTTTGTAACAATATACATATATATTCACACTAACAGTTATTTATTGGTAACATATTTAATTATCATAAATAAAAATATATGCGTGTAAAAAATCACTAGAAAAGGAATTACATTAATTGGTTTTCAAATTCCACCGATAAATTAGAGAATTATCATATATTCATTAGATTATATTTAGATATAATAAATAAATAATAATATTGTAATTCTATTTGTGAAATTTAAAAATTCCAACAACATTATTTAAAATAATAATTAAAAAAAAAAAGACAATAAACCCAAATCAAACTATCTGGATCTTTGCTGAAAAGCAGGCAATATTCTGTTTTTAAGACAATACAATATCATTTCACAATTTGGCAAAAATCTTTTTACAACACTGAGACGGTTAGCTGAATTTTTCACTGAGGTTTCTTGTGGGAAATTCATTGACTTCAAACTGTACTACACACAGGGCCTCAATGGAAAGTGTTTCCAAACAAAGGAGAAATGTAGGCAATTTCATAGCATCATGGATTCGAAGAAATTAGTTCACAAAACCTCCTTGTCATAAAATGCAAGAAGTTGCTTTACATGAGTATGCCAAGCAGCAATATTTTGTCCATCAACTGTAACCCATTCTAGAACGGTTGATGCAGGTTGCTCCCACCACTCGTCAAGCTGTGGCAGAATGTTCAATCCACAGGGTATATTAAAAGAAAATTAAAAGATCAATGCAGGGGAAAAGATGGAATTCTTGGCAGTAAAAGTTGATGGTTCAATAACCTTACCCTATTATCATGAACTAGTTCAAAACCCCAACACCCCCCCCCCCCCCCCCCGGCACCTCTGGCTTTTCTCCTCTCTCCAAAAATAAATATAACTAAATAGAACTATAAACAAACAAAAAGGCCATAATTGTGGCCAAAGCCCAGAAACATACTCCCCAATCAAACTATCAGTCTATTCCAGCTCCCTACCCCACCACCCACGTTATGATCTCACACTCTTAAATACGGGCAAATCAACCATTTCCTTCCTTTTTACATGAATAACACAGATGGATTGCATATAAACTGAAGAAAAAAGGTAGAATGTAGCGAGAGGTATGAATATGGTCAGCAAAATGATACAAGTTACTTACCAAACCGCTCACATATTTGCAGTCCTCCAAGCACTTCTGAGCATTCAAAACTGCAGTTTTAAGTTCAGGTAGCCATTTCTCGATGACAATTTTCTCTTGCTCAGCAGCCAAATTCAAACAATAATTTGTTGTCCTGCATCATGTGGCAGGAAAGTGCACAACAAATCATGATAAGCAAATTCTACAAGAATAGTCCATGAAGTACAAAAATATGCATCTTTCTATATATATTCTGTCCAAAAATGCATCACAATCATCAAAATTTCAAGGTACTACTTATTCTCACTCCCATATACATTACAGTGCAAAAACTTTGGGACAGCTGAAGCTAGATATAAGATTCGTTGACATACTAATTGCTTCTTAAAAGTTAAGGCTCCGTCTCCCTCTTCCTTCTTTGCTTCTAAAAGCAAAGAGTAAGTTTGTTTGTTATGATATTAAAGCATAATATTTTCTAAAATTTAAAAGAATAAAAATTGTATTACATGGATAAGAAATCATGATTTTTTTCCATGTCCAAAAATAAATGCATAAATTGGTTTTACTTTTAGCTATGTCTTCATTTTAAACAAATTGGTTCTGCCTTTTACTATTTGCTACAGCATTATGGCTAAAGCTAAGCCTTCGTTTGCCTGTTGCATTTACTATTTGTATTTTTCTATTTACATTTTGCTTCTTAAAAAGGCCACTTAAAGTAAGCAAACAATAAAAAGCAAAATCATAATTAATTAAAAAATGAAAAAAAAAATGACTAAAATGTAACAGAAATTCTAATGTAATATGAAAGTAAACTAATACATTTTGCTATTTAAAAAAATTACATTTTTTAATTCTTTAAAAAAAATTCTGCTTTTGTATCCAAATGCACTTTAATTTTTCGCTTTGAAAAACAAAAGGCAACTATAAAAGCAACAACCATATGATACCTAGGAAAGAAAATAGGAAAAAGCAAGATCAAAAGTGACAGCCAAATGGATTGGAAACTTTTTCAAATGGAGCACTATCTGTCTATACAAATGAAGAAGAGGTAAAAAGATAAATGGCTTTTAGATGGACATAACTTGGAAGAAGACAGAAATAGAAATTCATTACCTTGCATATTCTTGTTGAGCATGGTAAGCAAGGTTCAATAATGAATGACCACTTTCAACAAGATCCTGCCGAATATGGACCAAATTTATTGCCTTTGCCAGTTCCTCCAAGACACTAGCCTCAGAACCACGAAGCTTCAAACAAAAATCCAGAGACTCTAACACTGACGCTAAACCAGCATCAGAGCCCTCTAAACCTAACCAGACATTACATGTCATTAGCTTGAGAAACACAACTTCAACTGGGCTTCAAGATCATCCAAGTCATCCTCAAGCAAGCAAATAATCAAACTTCTGAGCACTAGAAGGTGTTTAGAAAAGGAGAACTAATTGAGTAATAACCAAAACACTACCTTTTTTGTTTTTGGTACAAACCAAAAATGAATGTTATTTAACATTTTATTCAACCTCACACTCAAACATCCGTCAGCACAGTTTTCAAGTCTACTCAAAATCAGAACCATTCCTAATAGAATCTAGCCTGCTTCATTGGAGAACAAAACTCACCAGCAGGGTATTGAAGAGCAGCAGAAACACGGCATATGGATGGAATTGCTGATGGATCCCTGGCACCAGCCCTTGCAGTCAGCAAGGCAGCATGCTTCTCTGCTGCGGCCACAGCTTCAGGTCCTGTAGATCCATTAGCACCCATGGACTCCAGAAGAGACTGATGTGGAAGTAATAAAATGAAACAACTGAGACATGAAATTGGAATTTGCACAATATTACATATAAGATACAGGATGCAATTTTATCTAAACCAAATTTTTACAATGTCTCCACAATTTTCATCAGATCCAGCCACACAAATAAGGAATAAAAAAGAATATAAAGTCCTTCCACTTGAGTCATAAACCATGCAAAAGCTTTAAAAGATGGACTGAAGAAGTCTAAATATCTAATAATTACATTATACAAACAAACAAGAGTCTTAATTTTAATGAAAAGACTGCAAAGACAATTTTCTAGGGGCTTCAAAGATACTTTATATTTTAAAAATCACATCTAAATAATATATATAGCTGCAGAAACAGGTAGGGGTTAAAAAAACCATGATATCTCCCTTAACATGAAACATAGGATCAAAAGTTCCCAGATCCATCAGATCAGATATAAGAATATCTGCATAACTAAAATCCACCGAAACAACTGCCACTTGTTTAATATCAAGTGACATGCAATTGATCAGGAAGTAAAAAATTTGGCAAAATCATAATTATAGGTGACAACTCGGACTTCATTTCTGGTCACCAAAACCACTCATCCGCACTATGTTCTCATCAAGAAAAGGGCATGTTGCTGCCTATTTCATCATGCCATATTGCATCCGAGACAACACAAACAAACAACTTATTCAGAACAAAGAGAAAAATTGTATAGCACTAACTGGTCTATTTTTATTACATTTGTAATTGAAAATATGCATGCTGTCTCAGTCTTACAAACCTGTGGGCTAGAGGGAAGCATGTAGAGGGTATTATCAGGACTTCTATAAAATGCAGAAACGTCTTTATCAATAAAATCTTTTGCACTGTTTGAAATGTCTGCAACAATATTGCAAGCTGGAATAATGGTGCTGGAAGCATACTCCCTCGCAGCTAATGGCTGTTGATTCCAGAATGCAGCTGCATCCTTTAAAGCAAAAGAAATTAGAATGAATACTGTTAGACAATTTTAGGCGAATGCAATAAATGCTAAAACCAAAACCGAACTAATAAAGTGACAAAGCATCCAAGTCAAGAAAACAAAACAAAATACATCCACCACTTAAATCCATTGTTATGAAACATAAATGAGATTGTCTACACTGTCAATACTAATTCTATCATTTAATTGGAGATATAAATGATTATTATAACAGGTATAATCCTCAATATCCAGTAGAACATCCAAGTCCATTTTTTTCCCTCTGTTTCTTCTTGAGAAGCTGGACACAGATAAGAAACAGGGTATATGCTCCGATATTTATGACAAAAAGAATGAAACAAGATATACGTACAGGGAATTAAGTAATCATTAGACAGAAGAAAATGCCTTTTTTTATTTCTTTTAAAAGATATTTCAATAGAACACGGATATCTCCTAAAGAAAATGCTTTTTTTGTCTTTTCTCACAAAGAAGAGAAGTAATCCAAGAGAACATTGATAAAGGAAGGTTATTAACTTATTTGCTAAAATTAACAATATTATGCGGTGCAAAGTTGATATAAATTAATAATTGATATCTAATAGCACCATAGATGCACCAACATGCACCATGATCCTATTGTTGAGTTTTACAATGAATATGAAGGACAGAACACCTTACCATATTAGCCTTCAGTAGAGCAGTATATATGGTTTCAAGTTCAGATCTACGAGAATCAAACTCTTCAATCTTCTTCCACTTCTTTCTTAATGAATCTTCAGCCTCTTTTCTCTCTGCACACAATTTATTCAACCGTTGTATTTCAGACATTAATGTATTTAAGCTTGCCCTTAATCCAGCAGCTTCTCTCTCCTTGGCCAAAACCTCCAACTGAGAAAATTAACCATGCAATTTAGCATGCACTATCTGATTAAATAAACTTTAAGAGGAAAAAAGGGACATAAACATCTAATCAAAGATGCTTTGTTGAAAAGTTAAAACTCATAACCATAAAATCATTCAGGAATTACCTCAAAATGTCTTAGACTGCCAACATTCTGCATTGCAGCTCCAACAAGTGAGTGTGAAGGAACTACATCACTATCTCCTTCTAGACGCTTTATAAGCTTTTGACACAAGTCCTTAGCTTCTGCAGCTTTATTGAGCGCTTCTTCAGTACCTAAAAATTGTTGAACATGTGCTTTCTGCAAACAAATACATATTTATAAATCAGCCAGAAAAAAAATTGACCAAGCGGAATCAACATAATTACAATAGTTGGGGGGAGGGGGGCTAACAAGTTAAGCAAAACCAAACAGCCAACCTAGTTTCATAAGGCCCTTAGCATGCACTCGGGGCTGTGGGAAATAAATGTAAAAAGTTAATTTGAGTAAGTGATTTTTTTAAAAGGAAAAAAAACCTGTCTTTCAAGAAGTTGATTTTGTGTTCCTCTAGAAGGTACATCCATTCCTACTTTTCCATTACCATAAAGTTGATAGTTTAATGGTGAGCTCACATCAGGAGAAGAAACATCCATAACTCTGTTGTTCTCATATTTGTACCTGATAAAAATATTAAATGACATTTATCTAATACAAGGTGCATTAAAACCAAACAAGCAACCAAGAAACTTTACAAAAGATGTTTGCATAAATAAAACAATGCTTGCAAATATGGGCATAACCTGAAAAAGATAAAACCAGCCTCCCCTTAAACAAAAAACTTATCAGGAGTCTTCATGGCACTAACTTGACAGAATGCAACATTGCACTCAAGGCCCACCCACAAAGAAACTAAGAAGCTAGAGATAATTCAAGCAATTGGAGGTTTATACAGACAAGATGTAGTTTGTGACCAAAACAAAACCCAAGCATGTCACTTACCTAAAATGAGAGAGCTAGAACAAAGAAACTATAAAAGTTATTATAGTTGCAGCATTAATGATAAAATTTTTTTATTCATTCATTTTCTTCTTTTTAAGTACAGCAGGATCAAATCAAAGGAAAAACTAGCCAAATTATAGTATTTTCCGTGCAACACTAGAGCCAATAGTAACTAAGAAAACAAATTGTAGCTGTAAGATTCTACAAAACTGATCTGAAATCCTATAACCACCAACAAGAAAAACAAGGAAGTGCAAGCCTACCTTAAGGTTTCAGCATCAGCTCTAACATCAACTTTCTCTATTTCTCTAGAAACCAGAGTTTTAAGCCTCGAAGTGTATGTGGTAATTGCCTGAAGCAATTGTGGAGGACTTTTGAGGCAATTTACAATATTACTTCTAACTTCATCAGGTATATCCCCATCAAAATCAAAGCCTAATTTGGTAGCTTCTGATTGAGGACTCAAATGGATCCCATTTCCTTCATAAGCTGGAAAAGAATTGCACACTTTTTCTATCATGCGTTCTGCAAGAGATTCACACGCCTTGCAAATATTTCTTTCACATGTTGTTTCAATAAGAATGACATCATCCGCAGCTTTAGTTCCCTTAACAGATGAATATACAGCTTCCTTCTCACTGTTTGCACTGAAGTTGTTAACCACTTCAATAGAAGAGTCAATACTTGACCTTTGAGCATCCCTCGCTTGATTTACATATTGATTAAGACGTTTATGATACTCTGCAAATATTTTTGCTGCTTCATCACACTGCTGATCATAAGCTTCCAACATCACCTGTTTGTGCCTGCAGTACAATAAGGCATATAATAAAATAGCTGCAAAAGAGATTTTACAAGAATTGAAATATACTAAGTAGTTTTAGTTTTCATGGATGCCAAGGTCATTCATATAATATCTGGAGTTCACAACAATAAGGACCATAATCATGCTTGGATTAACAAGATGCACATTACAACACTCATCACCAACATTCATAACTACAAAATAAGTCCTCTTATACGGCTTGACAATAAGAGCATATGGTCAACCTAGTCCATAGTTAACTCCAAATATGTAAAATTAAAATCAAGAAACAACAATATCATCTTAAGGGGAGAGCTAAAAGTCAAATCCATCAAGTAAAGTTCCTTGAAAGAATGTGAATAAAGAAAACCACAGAGATACTTTGACTTCCAAAGCCCCAAATCAAATACTACACTGTAAACAAATAAGATAGTCCATAATTTTTGAAAGAAAGTACTCTAGTTAGAATTAAAAACCCTATAGGGCATCCTCAGAGTCGTTGAAACTAAGCCTAGTTGACAAAACCAGATCAACCAACAGGTTAGTGAATAACCATTCAATACATTAAACAAACTCGGATAACATTAAAATGTGGAAAGTACATACAGAACCTCAATTTTACTGAGCGCACTGAAGATAGGCTCCTAAATACAGTACAATCACAAAAAAATGCAATGGGAAAAGGCTTAGTTTGATCTTCTCTTTCCATAACATTAAAATGCCACAAATCCTAAAATGTAGTGAAAACTCACTCTCGTGAGTCGTGATATACAGCTAATAAATAAACTCAATGGTAAATCGACCAAATTCATTGGTGGACACTTCAAATTAATAATAAAAATGTTAAAGCTGACATTTTTCAATCCTTAAAAAATAAGGAAAAAAAAAAACCTGCAATTGGCCCTTTCATCAAGCATCCTCTTCCTTTCAGCTTCCTCTCTAGAAATCTCCAACATCCTCGCCTTCAAATCTTTCCTTTGTCTCCTTACAATATTCCTCAACCTCTCCACTTCCTTCGCTGCCGCTTCCCGTTCCCTTATCGCTGCTTCCCTAATCTCAGCGGCTCCCGAACCCTCCCTTCCACCCTCACCGACAACCTTCTTTTTCCTCCTCCACCCTCCTTTACTCTTCCCCTCCTCTTTCCCCGAGTTTCCACCACTCTCACTATTTCCCCCTCTAGCTTCTCCTCCGCCCCCGCTGGTGGAGGTGCCGCCATGAACGGTAATGTTTTTCCGGATATTTTGGACGGTTTTCTCGGATTTGACTCGGGTTAGCAAAAAATGCCAAATGGGTAACATGTTTCCTCGACAAATCTTACTAAGCGAATCGATTGATGGTAAGTTCGACTTGCTGGAAGAATTGTACGGTCCTAAAGGGCGGTAACCCATTTCCTTTTGCAGCCATTCCAATATAGCTTCTTGCTGCACAATTGCGCTCTGCATTTTGGATTCAATTTCAAAAAATCCCAAAAAATTTAAATTTTGGACTACATTGACATCTCAGACTTTCAATTGAAACCCTAATTTAGCTAAAAAGGAACGGAATTGAATAGATCTAACAATGAGAAAGGCAAATGGCCGGCCAAAGGGAAGAGGAAGAGAGAGTCAGCTGGTAGAATGGCAGTGATGTAATTTTGGGGGCATTTTTTCAACTTTTTTTCTTCGGATATGAGCCAAAAAATATGAAGCTTAAGGAGGTCCCGCTCTTTCTATAATGGGCATGGGGAAGTTTTATTTTCTTTTGTATAAAGATTTTTTATTTATGAAAAATAAGTTAAAAAATTAAATTAATGAAATTATTATATTCTCCATTTAAAATTGTTTTAACGGTATTAATTTTTATAGAATTTAAAATTTTGTTTTGATTTTAGTATAGTTAATATTAAAATTAAAAAAATTTTATAAAATTAAAGTTTTATGAGTCTTAATATCAAAAATTTTTAAAAATCATAAAAAATAATTTTAAAAAATAAAAAATAAAAATTTTAAATATTAAAAAAAATAATTTTACATCATTCTAAAAAAATTAGACAAAATAAAAGCACATAAAGAGTATGCACATATTGTTTTTGTGTTGTTGCGATGTATATATATATTTTTAATAATAGGCCTGCTGTTCGTAGATCATGTTGTCAATGGTATCTGCCGGAATAAGACTTTCGAACCCATGACTCGGACAACTTGAAATGTTGTTTTATTAATAAAAGATTAAACTGACAAATACAACTTAGTATATAATTAGAATATTTTATTTGTCAAAAAACTAGAAATTATAAATTTCATACTTTAACACTTTCTACATTCAATATTCACAATAATAAGTATTGTAAGATTCTTTTTAAATTAAAATTGATAATTTTAAATATGATATGATAATATTATATATAAAAATGATATAATTTAAAATTTTAACAAAAATTATAAATTTAATAAAAATTAAAAAATATTTTATATTTAATAAATTGATGTAAATTATGATATAATAATTTTTATTTTATAAATATTTCACACGTAATATTAAGGATGACAATGGATAGGATCGAAGTAAATTTTTATTTGTTTTGAATCCGACCTGACTTTAAACATACAAAACTTAAATCTAACCCGATTCAATAATTTTTTATTATTTTTTATACTCGAATCTGATCCGACTTAAAATTAATAAAATATTATTTTAATATAAATATAAAATTAAATATATATAAATAATTATAAAATTAAAAAAATTATTTAAAAAATTATTTATATATATATATAGGGTCGAACCCGACCCTAACCTAATCTTGATTTTTTCTTCATGTCATCCGACTCGATTCGATATCCAATTTAAAAAAAATAATCGACTCTAAAAGATCGGATCGAATCAAAACCATCGATTTCGAGTTTTTTTACCTTATTTACGTAATATAAATTCATAATTTATCAAATTTACTTTAAACTCTTAATGGATTAATCCTTCCTATTTCTCTTTATCATAAAAAATAATATAATAAAGCACATGTCAATATTATAATTCACCGTAAACATACTATTAACAGTAATTTCTCCAAAAAAAAAAAAAGAAAAAGAAAAAGGCAATACATTTTCCAAATTGCGTTGCAAGATTCTCTTAGCAACTCCAGCATTTCCCATTTAAAATTCACACTTAAATTACCAAACTAGTCTTATCTTTATACCAATGGAAAAGTTTTTGAACCTATTTATTTTGTTACCTTGATCCAATTTAAATAGAAAATTTTTCATTCTGTTTGATTTGTTTTACAATAATATAAAATAAAAACCCTTGAATTTTAATTTTAACTTATGATATTAAAATTTTTTAAGGTATTTTCGAATTACAAATTTGGACAAAAATATCAACATTCTTTTTTTATATATTTAAAAGTATCAATATTCATGATATAAATATTTGAAAACTATTTAATTGTAAATTATAATTGTTTTTCATGTACAAAGAAATTCAAACATAAATTAATATAACTACAACACTTAGAATAATGGCTAAAATAATTTTTAAAAATCCTAAATTTTATCATTTTATTTAGATAAATTTTTATATTTTTATTACATCCAATAAACTTTTATTTTTTATTTTACACTCAAATAAACTCTTAAATTTTAATTTGTATCTAAATAAACTTTAATCTTTAATTTGTATATAAATAAACTCTTAATATAAATTAATATTTTATTTAAAATAAAAATTTATTTGGATATCAATCAAAAAATAAAGATTTATTTAAGTATAACAAAAATATAAGAATTTATTTAAATAAGAAAATAAAGTTTAGAGATTTTTTATATATTTATATATATTATAAAAAAATCTCATATTATTGGTGAAAATTTTACCAAAGTAGTTTAAGGGTTATCATACGTTTAAGATATAATTTTAATATTTATAATAAAAATATAAAAAACTTTCTACTACTAAAACAAATAAGTTTTCAAAAACTTTTTTATTTTAGGTCAAAATGTACCATAGGTCCTTGTATTCTTCGAAATTTAGGAACTTGAACCCTTTAGTGTTATTTAAAAGAATTTAGTCCTCATTATATTATTTTTTAATAATTTTAGTCCAATAGTTAACAGTGTTAAATTTGATCCATTAAATGGTTGACATAACTACTAACATAGCATTTTTATTAGTTTATAACATTGTTAATGCTGACATATATTACACATTCTGACTGCATGAACAATTAAAAAGTCATGCCAGCATTAACACAAATATTTTTTTAACTAATAATATCTTAATATCATTAAAAAAAATTTGAAAATAAAAAAAAATAATTAAATAAAAGAATCATGAAACCTTCAAAGCTAAAAAAACTCTTCATGTAATCGTGAAATCCCAAAATCTTTAACCCTAATCAAAAACCAACAATCTTAGATTCAGCATTCCTCACTTGCTTTTCTATTGGTTTATCTATTACTTTCCTAGTTCGATGTTGCTTTCCTACACTTCTTCATACTTTCAAACAAGAATGGGTTAGACGATTCAACATTCCTCACTTTATTTCCTCATATTCTTTGCTTGTTCGCACTTTAGGTACACTTTCATTTGATTTTTTTGCTTCTTGAAATTTTCACAAAACTAAAAAGGGATTTTTTTTGAAAACCCATAAACCCTTTATTCATACATTGAATACATTAGGTTGACAAGTTAGGGTTACACTTTTAATAAATGTGTTTGCTAAATATTTAAATTTTTTTTAGCAATAGTTGATTATAGTGGTGTGGTCTTGTTGTTGTCTTTTATGTTTTGTCTATTTCTATTACCTACTTGTCTAGTTGTATGGTCCATTGAATATAATTATTGCATAGTTAAATTACATATTGGTGCATAGTTAGATTACATAATTTATGGAATTTACATGTAATATTGGTTTCTGTATAATAGCATGTATGATTATCTGGGCTATAAAATGTATATGTACCTTTATATAGCTATTTATTAGCAACATTGGTTTTTGTATAACAACATTATGTATGTGTACCATTTGTTACACATTAGTTGTTTGGTTAACTATAGACATATATTTATTTTTTTCATTTTGATGTTGGGGTTTAAGGTTAGAATGACTTGGAAACCATGCCAAACACGGTACCACCATAAAGGGTAATTAAAAAAAATCATAATTCAATTAAATATGTGAATGGGTCAATGATTAAATTTGATGAAGATCCAAATTGTATTTGCTATTGGACAATATTAGGAACCATAAAGAGCTTCGGTTATGATTTGGGGCATAAGGTAAAAATTTACTTTTTTGAGTTTAGTAAAACATTAAAAACAAGCTTGAAGTTGTTAACAGAAAATGATAACAGTGGTGTAAACTTAGCTATTCAATTAAAGATGAGTAGGCCTATAAATATTTATGTAGAACATTTGGATTCCAAACTTGACAGTGACATTTTAAATGCTTTCCTTAATCCAATTTCAAATGATGATGATAATGAGGTTGTTATGATTGGTAGTAATGAACCTAATAGACAACCAAGATCTCTTACATCTACATTAGTTTATTTTCATAATGGTTCAAAAAGAGAAAAGTCTAGATAAGGAAGAAGATCAAGTGAATGAAGTTAATGATGCTAATAACACTAATGAAGTCACTATTGAGGGTTTAAGGTCTATTGAGGGATTTAATGTAGGAGAAATCAATGTGAATCAAGTTAATGATGCTAATGAAGTTACGATTAAGGGTTTAAGGTCTGTTGAGGGATTGAATGTAGATGAAGTGAATGTGAATGAAAAAGATTATGCTAATGAAGTTAATGTTGATAGCATTGTTAATGATGATTCTACAATTGATGAGAAGTTAGAGAAAGCTAGGCAGAATGTTTGAGTTTATGTTGAGAAGAAAAAAGATTTTTGTGATGATAAATTAGATGAGGTATCAGATGCTGAATCAAATAATGGTGAAGTTATTAGAGGTAGAGTTGAATCTGTAATGCAAAACTTAGAAAAGGTTGGGTACGTTAGTGATTACTTTGATTAATCATATCCTGGTAGTTATAGTAACATAGTGATGGGTATGATAAAAATGATACATAAAGAGTGTATTATAATAACACTTATTATAATCTCATATTGTAATTTGAAGATTTTATACTTGATCTTAACTCAATAATCTAAATTTGTTTAAAAAAGTACTTTGTGATTTTTCTATAAGAAAATGGTTTAAATTCAAGTATAAAAAGAATGATAAAATTAGAGTTAGAGCTATATGTAATGCCAAAAGCTGTAATTGGACTATGCTTTGCTTGTGATGCAATACAAATACGACATATATTGTGAAAACATATGTATATGAGCATTCATGTTGACCTATTTCAAAGAATATAAAAATGATAGCCTTTGTTATTCTAGAAGGTTCGGGAAAAAAAATTAATGTAATGCCTTTAATGAAGCCTAGGTATTTGAGGGCATTAGTTAAGAAAGAATTAAGGGTTTTTGTGTCATATAATATCTGTAAAGCAGCCAAGAGAGTTATTATTAAAAGAATAAGGGAAAAGTACAAAAAAGAATGTCTCTAAATGATTATGTTGAGGGGTGAAATTCAACTAACCTTAGGATCACCATTTTTTTGACATCTAAAAATTTAACCCTTGATTTTATGCCTTTATTTAAGAAATTATATGTATGTTTTGAGGTGTTGAAGAAAGGATTTATTAAGGAATGCAAGCACATCATTAGGCTTGATGGTTGTTTCCTTAAAAGACTGATTAAAGGTCAGCTACTTGTGACTAAAAAGAAGGATAGAAACAATCAAATATTTCTAATTGTATGGGCAATGATGGAAAAAAAGAATACTAAAACTTGGACATGGTTTATACAACAACTTTATGATGATTTAAGTATTGAAAATGGACTTAGATGGGCTATGATAAGTGATATGTAGAAGGTAATTTTTTTAATTGTCCATTTATTTACTTTTTTATACTTGTTTACTTAACTGGTATAATTGTTGTATTTTGATGCATTACTTATTATTGATCTTTTTTCAATATATTAAGGTTTAATAAGATTTGTTAGCGATATATAACCACATATAAAACAAAGAATGTGTGCTAGGTAAATTTATACTAAGTGAAAGAAGAATCATAAAAGAAAAGACTTGAATTATTATTTTGGATATGTGCTAGTTCTCTTAATGAATTTGAGTTGAAAAAATAGTTAAAAATGATGGCAGGCATTGATGAAGGGTTTAGGGCAAAAGAAGAGTTACTAGATAAGTGATCAGTACATAATTGGTGCCAAGCTTTCTTTAATAACATCATTAAATGTGGTGTTATTGATAACAATATATGTGAAACTTTTAATGGTGTCATTTTGAAAATAAGGTGCAAACCATCATTAGTATGCTAGAAGATATTGGGTCTATGTAATGAAGAGATTGATGCAAAAAAAAAGAATAGTTAACAAATAAAAGACAAATTATGGCTCTAGAATTGTAGAAAAAGTTGAGAAGTTTAGGCAACTATCTAAGAAATGGGAGGTTAACAGAATAGCAATAGTAGGCATGAAGTATATTAGGAGAATGTTGACACACAAGAGAGAGAGAGTTTCATTGTCTTATTACAACACCATTCATGTTTTTGTAAGAGATGGGACATAAATAAAGTTTCCTATCAGTATGTAATGAATGCAATAATGTCTAAGAGATTAGATCCACTTAATGTTTATGGTTCAACAAAGAAAAGTATTTATGTGCTTACAAGCACATGCTGAACCCTATTAGATGTAAACAATATTGGCCTAAAAGCATTAAAAGATTAGTTTTACTTTATTTAGTCAAAAAGATGCTAGGTAGACCAATAAAAAAAAGTAAAAAAAAAAAAACCCATTGAAGGAAAGAGTGGGACCAAACTATTAAGGCAATGAATGAAGATGACATGTGGATACTACCATTAAAAAAGTCACAATAAGTTAGGATATCTAAAGAGATCAAAATTTGTAAGAAAACTTTTTTCATACTTGTTTTGTTATTATGAAAATCCTAGTATTCTAATTGTTTTACATATGTGCAAGTTACTAGTAATAGATATGTAAAATCAAAGTCAACCATTAGAGGTGACAATGTATCTTTTTTTCATTTCTACTGAGAGAAATGTAAGTTTATGCATTTTTTAACTTTGTTACTATTGTTTGAGTTCTGATGTTGCTATTGTTTAAGAACAATTTTATTGAGGTTTTGATGTCATTGACTGTCTTGTTAACTATACAAGCCATTTCTAATAGGTCACATGAAAATAAAAAGAAAATCCTACTTGCTTGGCATAGGGATTTGTTCATACCAAGACCTAGATAATGGGATTTCAATATTTAATGTAAATTATTACTGATTTTATTTACTTTATACGATTTAAGGTGTTGAGACCAATTCTATAATGTCATAAACATAACCTAAAAGATCTGGTGAGCTGATTATAAGAAGAGATGGCATGATGTCTGGTTAATACCTCATTAGAAAAAAAAATTACAAGTAAAATAACAACTGATTGATCACTACATCACCATTTTTTGCATCTATATATTGATCTCACTTATTGTTTTTAATTTTCTGTTATTAGGCATAAAGGAACAAAAAGATCTTACAAAAACATATGTCAATAAGAGGAAAAGAACAAGAAACTACACTAAACTCAACACAAGAAAGTTTTACACTAGCTTCAAAAAAGGATTAACTATAGTGAGGATTATCTGTAAACATATTTTTTTACTTTTTAGGTTATAGGTCCTATAGTTACAGTATTTAAAATAATTTTTTGTACTAGGTTTGATATCTGGTTTTATAGCTACAGGTTTTATAGTAGCAAACATTCTGGTCATTATTTGTGCAAACAGATTGATGATTTTTTGGGTTATAATTTTAGCAAACATTCTAGTAATTTTTGTGCAACCAGATTGATAACTTTTAGCTACAGGTTGATGTAAATGCAAATTGTTTGGTCATTTTTTTTAAATGCAAACAACAATATCTTATTGAACACATTGTGGTTAATGATTTCAAACAGAAATAAAAATATACAAATTCATGGTTGCAATCATCTTTTGTTGGTGGTATCAATTAATCATATCTATTCATAATAGGTATTACATGAAAGAAATTAAAATGCATGTGTACTATAATAAACCAAAACATAATTTTGTATTATATACACACTTTAATGACCGTAAAAGTATGCATATCATTAAACAATATATATCATTCATACATGTATACTTACTTATGACAAAGACAACATACCATTCCTAACCATATCATCCTTATCCACTTCAAATACAAAATATAACAACATTAACAAACTAAACGTCAAAGCCATTTTGTATAGCCTCTTTGACTTTGTTTCTTTTTTTGCATCTAACATAGCATTCTTCAATCTTACATTTAACTCATCATTCTTAGCTTTCAGTATAACAACTTCGTCAAATAAATCATCACTATTAAACATTGTTCTTTTACATTCATCATTGGTCTTCAACTCAACATTATTCTTCTTAATGCTCTATTTTCATCCTTCAATATTGAATTTTCTCTTTTTAAACCTCTATTGACATCCCTTAAATCAATAATCCATAGTTTTAGATGTCCATCTTCAATTGGCTTATCATGTCAAGCAAAAAATTGACATTGATTTTCCTACATACATCATGCATTTCAATAAACTCAAAACCATGCTTTAGACAAATGTTTAAGACCATGCGTACATCATACACTGATGTTCATGACCATGCTTTAGACTCAATAATTAAATATCAAAATTATATATATACGTGTTAGTTGCTGTAGCTAGAAAAACGCCTTCCAAGGTTATCATTACTTATTAAAGTGACTAGATGAGCCTTCAATTCGTAATAACAGAACACAGACACACCTCCATAATCATATGTTAATGAAACAAATTTGAATCTGCTGTCAATTCAACATTTGGCCATAATATCAAAGTTATAAAAATAAATATCAATCTGTTGTCAACTTAAGGGTTAATAGTTTTTAAACTCTTAACTTTTTTGGTAAACTCAATAATATTAAATATACATTCAAACTTGGATTTGTTGTAGTTTTCATCGATTTCTCTCTTTTTTTTTTTCAACTTCAGACAAGCTCAACCCAATCAAAATGTGAAAAAAGATAGTCGGTCTAACATGTTACAATAAGAAATCATTACATCTAATAAAAAATTAGTACATATGATCACAATCAATGAACATTGTAATCCCAATTTTTAAACAATAATTCTAATAAATAATATAAACTTATCAACCCAATTTTTTTGATGTATTAATCAAGTTTTAGGGTTTTTAAATAATCCATTTTTTAATTCTATAAAAATATAAATGAGATAAAATTAAGAGATTGTAATCAAAATGCAACAAAGTTTTATTGATAAACCAATGAGAAAAATGATTCATCATCCACACATGTTCTTGTTTCCAATCAGATTGAAAGAAATTGAACATTTCTTCTGATAGGATTTATTGATTCATCGAAATCGAATCCTTTTCCATTCCAATAAACTCTTTCAACTTTTCAATTCAAAGATTTCAATTTCAATTTCACAATTTTTGTAAACAATTGAGAAACGAAAGATTTGAGAATTAAGAACTTTGGATTCTTTCGGTTTCACGTTTTGTTTATTCAATCATTTTTTTTTTTTTTTGCTTTTAGAGGTTTTTTTAAATGATATTCAAATATTATTAGTTTAAAAAATATTTATGTTAATACTATATGACTTTTTAATCATCCATGTGACCAAAATATGTAATACATATTAACATTAACAATGTTAAAAACCAATAAAAATGCCACATTAGCAGTCATATCAATAATCAAATTTAACACTATTAATTATTTGACTAAAATCGTTAAAAAATAATACTACAAAAATTTGTTTTTTTTAAATAATACTAAAACTTATTTCTTAAAAATTGAAGAGCATAAAGACCTGATCTTGATTTTATGATCAAGAATTTAGAATATCGGATGGATGACACCGCCCACCACCCTTCATTAACACCAACAAAACACAGCAGACAAAAGGAAAGAAAAAGAAGCCTCTGTCGCTTTATTTCCGCGCTTTCATAGATTTTCTCGCCGCATAAAACTTGCAAACACTACACTAAACTCTCTCTGAGTCTCTCTCTCTTGTCTTTTTTTTTTTTTTTGAGTTTTTATTTTCCAAAATTCGGAGCTCTCTTTGGTTCCCTGTCCTTCTCCTTGTCTTTTCCTAAAAAAAAAAACACCCAATAAAAAATATCTCCCTTATCACTTCTCTCAGCTCAATTTCCATCAAGGTAACTTTTGTTTTTCATCAGTTTAGGATGTTTTAATTGTTTCCTTTCGGGATTATCTAAATTGGACATTTTTCATTTTCCTGTCCATGCATGTTTTGGGCCAAATTTTGTGCTTTAAAGTTGTTTTTTTTTTTTTTTTTTTTCTCTTTCATATGGTATAATCCAAAATGGGCTTCCTTTATTTGATTGAACCATGCTTGTTTCTGGGTTTATCTTTTGGCTTTTGATGAAAACTTGAATTTTTGAATGGCTTAGTTGTTTTTTTTTTCCCCTATTGAATTCAAGAGAGTATTAAATTTTAGCTGTTATCTTTGATTTCCCAAATTGATTCTCGATTGTTTTGTTGGTATTTTTGTTTCTTACTTTGAAAGGAAAGAAACCTTTTGCTAATTATGAACAAAGCCATAAAAAGATTGTCACTTCCATAAGAAAAAAAAAAAAGGAAAATTGGACAAGCAATTCTTCAAAAGTATTTCTATTTTCTTTTACCTCGAGGAAAGCTAGTGGCTTTTTACTAGTGGCATTGTGAACTTGCTATGAGGATTGTTTTGTCGGCTTGATTTGGTTTATGTTATCCACAAATTTGACTTACATTTTTTTTTTCTTTTATTTTGCAGCTGAAGAAGTGCTATTTAGCTAAATTATGCAAGGGCATTCGGCATTTTGTGAATAGAAGAGAGAGGGGATACTGGTTCGTAGGCGTGGTGGGACTTCTGCGAGCTCAGCGTCCTCTCTCATTGTCTTTTTTTAGCTTAGAGAGCTTTGTTCTTGATGCATATGCATAATCAGAACGTTGTGCTTTATTGATAAGGTTGTATAGAGGGTTTTAACTGAAGGAGGAAGCTTAAAACTTAATATTATGGGTTCTGTTTGCTGCTGCTTGCACGCTGAGGATTTTGAGGACTATACAAATCCAAATAGTAATGTATGTAGAAACTGCGTGTGCCTTAGTTGCTTTGTTCAGAATTTCCTACACGTGGTATGAATTCTGATTCTTGTTAATAAGCATTGTTTTGGACTCCAGTATTATTTTTTTTCAAATCACACTATTTTCATGTCTCACTTAGAGGTTATAAAAGTGATGGTTCTGTTGAGTATTTCTTTCGTAACACTTTTATGTTGTCAAAGTTTTAGGCTTTTAGAATTTAACTCTTTTATATTTTCTATCCGTGGCACATGTGGGTAGCATTAGTGAATCATTTTTACAATAATGTTGTCAAGAGCATATTAATAATTTACACATGATCATCTCAACTATTAATGCAAGCAGGATCCTTTGTGAACTTTTTTATCCATTCCCATGCTTATATGTTTGTGGAAGCCTCGACAGAGTGTTATAAGGGGACAAGGTTTGGTGAAGGAAAGAATGATGAAAGAATGAAATATAAGTTGCAGTGGGCTCTAATAAATATATATGTGTGTGTGTATGTGTGTGTGTATTACTAAATGACTTAATTGGTGATTAGTTTTTCTAAATCAGGAAAAGTATCTTTTATTGTTATATTATGTTTTTTGTGGTAAGCTACTTGTGTTTTTATGCAATAAGCTGGAATAAGGTAATTAACATGCCAGTTTCCAAAATGCTGTTTTTTTTTAAGAATCCTCCTAATGGGTTCTTGGAGCAACTGAAAACTGCTTATAGTGTCCACACTCAGAGTTCTCGATCTAGGAAATTCCATCAGCATTTATCTATATTGGCTTTTAGGTGAACAGATTTCTACTGAAGTCAATTGTGGACCATTAAGTACTAACCTAATTTAATAAAATTATCAGTTGATTGTTTACATTATGAAGCATGTGTTCAATTAATAGAGTGAAGAAGTTAACCTGAAGGGGGTTTGGTGTTAGATGTCTCAGTGTTGATCAGAAAAGTTTATCTTCAATTATTTCATGGAGTTCCAGCTTTTGATACTTCTTTTTTTTTTTTTTTCTTTTGCCCCTATAATTGTAGTATACCACATTATTTCAAAGAGGGGAGCTGCATTCTGTCCCTTCATCCATTCAGGGGACAGCATCTGTGGACTCTTCTGCATCACTAGACAACTCACTGTCTGACATGTACCGTTCTCCTGCAAGGCCCTTGCCTTATGATGCTGACACCAGATATTTCCGCTTACAACGTGATGGTCTTTTTTCAAGATGCGAGAAGGGTTCGAGTCATTCACAAGAGGAATCAGAGCCTTTAAGAGGTGAAGATGCTGCAGATTCAGAAACTTTGAGTACAGGAGACAAATGGAATTCTTGTGAACAAGGCTCAAAAGAGCAGCATTCTAAATTCTCACAAAAACTCTCATCAGCAAAAGCAGCTGCTGTAATTGGGTACATCTATTCATCAGCAGAAGAGGAGGATGTCTGTCCAACATGTCTTGAAGGTAATCTTTCTTCACAGCTTTCACTGGTGTTGTAGCCCCTTTATTATGCTGCAAAAATTTGTTACTGGAGATTATTGCTAATCTGTTATGATGTTGCAATGGTGGTCAACTCGCTTTTCTTGTTGTTCACGAATACTTGTTTGGACTCTTAATCACTTGTCTATTTCTTGCTTATGAACCTGGCAGGGAAGTAATTTAGTTATCAGTCCTGTTCATCCAAGCTCCAACATCTTTCATTTGTATGCTTGTGTGTTTTTGTGCTTTTCTTTGTGTTTGCACTTGCTTGAACCTAAAGTAAAAAATTTTCTCACCTCAAGATTATTTAAGAAAAGTGGATTCTTTATTTAAAAAAAAAAAAAAAAAGAGAACAGTGGATGGTTGTTTCCTTAATAGTTGTGAAGAATAGTTGGGCTATATTCCTCTGCCTTTGGAATTTTGTGGTACTTAACAATATCATTAGGATGTCTCACTTTTCACATGATCAAAGTTAAGTTCATACCACCATTGACTTGTCTATTCCTTCTCCCAAACAACAAGGTTTCCTCAATGATTTGCTGAATAAGCCAAACTTTGCCAGAACTTAGGAAGGAGGGATGCATTGAAATGCTAAATTTCTGCTATATCTTGCTTCTATACCTGGATGCATGCGCCATTAACTAGGCCCAGATTATATTGATTGATGATTAAACAAACTTGATTTAATCAGGGAACTTGCAATCAATCCATAGTTTTATAGTATGTCATTCTCATTTACATTAGAAACAATCACTGCTATAAAAAAATTGATAAAAATACCAATCATATTACATTGGACTTTTAATAGATACATTAACTTCCTTTTAAACTTAACATATCATTTATATGCAGAATATTCTCTAGAGAATCCCAAGATAGTCACAAAATGTTCCCACCATTTCCATCTTGGTTGCATTTATGAATGGATGGAGAGAAGTGAAAACTGTCCAGTCTGTGGAAAGGTATCCTTTTTGCACTACTTAGCTTTTGCATCTCCATGAGAATAAATAACCCACCAACAGCCATGTTGTTTAAATTTTATCCTGCTTGATCAGCCATTTCTTTTCTTTCTAGACTTCCAATTTACTAGGATGTTCAAGGTTTACAAGCATTAGCTTTTTAATTTGCCTTTGATATATTTTCAAAGTTCTTATCTTGCTTTCCCCTTTTATCAATATCTGTATAACCAATGTGTTAAAAGTGCATATATCTTATTGGTTTGTTTATAAACACTCATGCACATTAATGGTTGTGTTTTAGTATGTTATCTTTTCAATGAGTTCTCTTTTAATGGATTTGACATGTTTAGATGTTTAATGACAATATCATTTCTTTTTTTCTTAGATGAAACACTTACTCTTTGTTTGTTTGTAACAAAAAGTGAAGGAAAGAAAAGCTACTTAGAAAATTAACTGTTAAGAAGACTACTGAAAATGAAGTTCCTATCTTGTTTCCATGGGTAGGAAAAATGCAAGGAAAAAACTTTTTTCTTTACATTTTCCTTTCTGTTTACTTTTCAAGTGATAATCCAACTTATCCTCAAAGTTTCTTCCCACTCAGCCTCTTTGGTCAGAACTCTGAGGATTGGTTTATAGATAATTAGTCATGAAACAAGTAGAAACAGATAAAAGAAAAATAAAAGAAGATAAGTAATGAACTGTTGATAGTAACATGAGTTTGTCCTTTCCAACTTCTTCAAACTACCAACACTCTATGGGATGCATAATCAAAAACTGGCGTCTGGTAATTTTCAGGTCAAACAATTATTTGATCATTGGTTCTAGTTATCTGTGCAGTCTTCTTGGTTTCCTATCTTTATCTATCTTTTGGCCAATCTTGATGTCTTCCATTTTCTGCAATAAACTAACTTTTTTGATAGGTATATGCATTTTAGGCTCAGAAAAGATATTGCTTGGTGGACCACATGGTTTAGATGATACCTTTGATGTATATTTACTAGCAGCAGAAATTTTGAAATCTGTAGAAACAAAAAATGAATGGGAATGATTGTTATTAACTGGATGTTGATTGTGTAGATATAGGAGGTATTGCTGAGATTATTGGACTTTGAATTTGGTCAGCAAATGGTGGTCACCATGCATGTTAAGGCCAGACAGCAAAGTTGCTGTCAAGCCTGATTATATTTCCTTCTCACTTCCCAACTCGTTCCTCGACTTGTCAAATATTTTCAGTTCCAAAAGAAAAAAATAAAATAATAATAATAAGAGGATTGTGGGGGATGTGTTTTGTGTTACATCTCTGCTTGCTTCTCTCAGTGCATGCCAGGACTGTAAATACGGATGCCTTATTGTCGGTTAGGTGCCAGGAAATAATTTAAACACTCTGTTTACTAGTCTATGGAGTTTAAAGTTCATTTTAGGAAACTCTGCACTCATTATATTACCTGAATTTTTATGGTTCACTTTTCTTTTTTCGGAATTCACCGGTTATCTTCTTTTCTTTTCGATCTTGTGATGATAACGTTGTACTTGCAAAGCTTTATATCGAGTATAATACATTAGAAAATGAAAATACCTTGTCTATACTCTACTGTTACCTAAAATTTTCTCATCTCAACTCGCCATTTGTTTTGTTTGTTTTTTCAGGTTATGGTGTTCAATAAAACGATTTAATCTCGCTTAAAATGTTTCATTGTGGATGAAAACCAGCAACAACAGAAGACAGAACCAAAAAAAGGCATCTATGGTCCTTTGTAAATACTGCAAAGTAAAGTTTGTCACATACCGTAAATATGAAAAATGTTCTGTATAAAGATTGTAAGTTCATTCTCTTTGTAACCCTTTAAGTGGGGAAAAAAGAAATCATGCATAAACAAAAAAAAGGAAAAAAAAAAGGAAAGAAATCATGCATGATCGCTGAAAATCTCACTAAAAGTTCCGAGAATAGTTTGTTTATCAATGGGAAAATTGTGGATTTGAGGAAGCTAAGACGTATCCCAAGATTTCCTTTGTTATTAATTTGGAATCATTTAGTAATTTATGTGCCTGGTTTAAAATTAATTTAGGAAAAAAGGAAGTATATAAGAAACAGATCTTTTAGTAATGAGGAGGCATATAAGAAACAGATCTTTCATCTGTTATTTACTTTGGAGTCATTCTGTAGTTAAAGAGGATTCAGTCCCCCATGAGGATATTTTTCCCCAACCACCCATTCCCTCGTGGATTTGTGACCGTCACACGGAGGTTTTCATGTCAAAGAAAGAGATGACATTTTCAATTATTACTCATCAAAGGAAGAAACAGTCTTACATCATTATAGGTATTTGAGATTTAAATTTCAAACATTTGTGATCGTTTTCTCTTTTGTACCAAAATTAACCGAGGAATTTTCTTTCGTACCAAAAAAACCCGCCTCGTTACCCTTGGCGATTTTGTTACTTTCTGGCCAATGGTTAGCACTGCAATGAACTAAGAAGGCATTCTATCATTTCCTTCCTACCAAATGCACGGTTCGATAATTTCACGGTAACAATTAAGGTTCCGTATGGCATCAGTTAATCACCTAGAGGAAGATATTGGAGTGTATTTCAGACTTCAATGGAGAAATCATATGCTTTAAGCTGTTTCTCTTACTTGTTCTCATCCAGAAACGTTGGGATACTATATCGGTGTTGGAGTATCAGAGGTGAATTATATATATTTAAAGGGAAAATGAAAGAAAGAAACTCCCTTGAGAAATCATCCACCCATCACACATGATCCAATCTATTAAGAACATAATGTGAAGGAACAGCCTGTTTTACAAATATACAAACTGTTTTGGCATGTCATGCACATAGATTATCCCAACAGGGTTTATTGTATCTAATATAGTAGTAGGGTTTGGGACAGAAGGGGCAGAATGTAGTTATAAGAGACAATTGTATACGACAAAGCCTACTGATATATGTTTTGTCAGAATACGCTCCTGATATGTATATAAGCATAAATACCAAGTGCTCAGCCAATAAAGAAAATCCATAAATACCTGGTATGGAATTGAGTTTGTCAAATGACCAGTTTATTGCTTTTGTATTTGGTTAATAAAGCTTGAAAATATAAGTTTCAGAGTCTGAGGCAATGTCAGTTTGCTACCGCTTGAAAAGCTCTCAAGAAGGCTTCAGGTGGTTGGCCACCACTCAACTGGTGCTTTCCATTTATCTGCCAAAAGAACAGCTTTTACTCTATGGAACTCAATGTTTTATCATTCCAAATATTTAAGTTAAAAGATGTGAAATTTTCACCTACCGTGTAATTTGGGACTCCAGAAATGTTTGCAGAGTATTTCTCCAGCTCCTCATTAACCTTCATTAAGTCAGAAAATGCAACCTCAGTTAGCTATAAAATATATCAGAACACAAGTTGCGGTTAATCTGGAAGCTGAGATTATGAAGGAATTTAATTTGGAATCCTTGAAATGAGAGTGATGGAATTCTTTCCCCAGATTTTTGTAATCTGTTACATTATTTTATTTATTCGTGGGGGTAGCTAGGAGGATGAGAAAGTGGTGTATGGAACAGACCTCCTTGACACCGTTATTGGGGTTTTCAAGAAACTCTGCTGCTCCTTCAACTCCAACCTTTCTAGCAGATTCCAGAAGAAACTCCCTGCATCAAAGCACATTGTTAGATGCAATCAATTGGGGATGCAAAGATGCATGAGTAATCAACTTTATACAGAAATGAATGCAACCACAAAATCCAATCTCACAGAAGGACATTATAAAAAGCAAGTTTTATTCTCCATAAGTCGATGTTGCCATCTCTGGTGATGGAATGAGTCATTCAATGAATCACATTACTTGTAAACCACTAATAATAACGAATATATTTGCAATTGTGTGAGACAAATACAGACCGAATTATTGTCACTATTATACTGGTTTCTGGTCAAAAGTAGTTGTCAAACACCTTAAATGCATGAAATGCAATATCAATGGTTGCTTTTTAAGCATGAACTACACATACCGATCACCAATGTATTTTCCCTGGGTGAAGTAGCCTATAAAAAGCTCTTCCACAAGATTATGTTGCTTATCAAGACCTTGTTTTCCAGCAAAATATATCAGCCTGTGGCTCTCAAGAGTATTTCCCCTGTACATATCCAAGCCAATATTAGTGGTATATCTATTGGCACTGCCCCTTCAGAGCTATCTCTCAATAGACAAAATTGGTGAAACGATAAGTCAAACTTACGTGAGTCCAGACATGTCATATTCCAATCCAAAATTCCTAAAGATCTGCAATTTTAGGAGTGTCCACAATGAGTCAGGCAGTTAGGAACAAACTCAAAGACAAGGCAAATCAAGTCATAACAATAGGAAGTTCAAAGAATGATAGTAAAACCTCTTTCATCCGAGCTACAATTCCTTGAGCTTGAGATCCAAACTTCCTCTCATAGAATTCTCTCTTATTGACTCCTTCCTTAGGTGCAGAAGGATCAAGAAAAAATGGATGCCATTTAATCTGCAAAAAGAATAATTATAGATGAGAACAATATGCACTAGACAAGCATTCATGTCTGTGCACGTTGAGAGACCTCAAAATCAAATTGATCCCTAGATTCAGCAATTGCTTTGTCCAGGTTTCTTTTGCCCACAAAGCACCAAGGGCAAACACTGTCTGAACTGACATCAATTCGAATGAGCTTCTTTCCAGTGCTACTAGATGACTGAGCCATTATCCTCCTGTATCTGCTGTCTTTCTACATAAAGATAGCAAGTAAAGCTCCAAATCAGCAAACAAAGAAGAAGAAGTTATCTTTGAAAATTTCCATAATCAGCTCAAATGCAATCATATATGCATAAATATCATCTTCAATCATCCGTCCAATGCTACAATATCCAAACATGTGCATTCCAGGACCATTCCACAAACTTAATCAGGAATATCTATTTAATTCCCAGTGCATGAATGTCAAGTCTCATATAATTCAGGCCTCTTTGTTAGCTGTTCACAAAATTCTAACCCCTTTTATTCTGGCAATTAACCTATTAGTAAAAATTGGCCTATACATATTTCTTCCAAGATCCCTCTTTTTAATCCTGTTCTGCTCTCTTCTATTTCTCTTCACATCCTTAATTGATCAGGAAATGAAATAAACATTTAGAAATAACATAAAAACATGTTGCTTCCCCTCTCTGAAACATATTCTTATAGCTTAGATTTACATAACTTAAATTTGAGGAAATTCAAATGAAAAATAAGAAAGATGACCTAAATAGATACAATAGATCTGCACTTTCACTTGTTTGAATCTCATTAGTTAAAAGGTTGAATTGCTTAAAAGCCAAAATCTTTTAGATCCCATATCAAATCTGACATGCTACAAACAATTCTTAACAGCAATTATAAGTTATAACAACATATCATAATCTTTAAAAAGTGCATATAAAACATTTGAAGCAAAGCACGAAAAACGAACTTTAAGTGAATTGCAAATACAGCCTTGCTTTATTTCCATCAACAAATCTAAGAACAAAAAAGTTTAAATTTACAAAAAAAAAAAAAAAACTGATACCTTCAAAGCTAATGTAATATACTTTTGTCATTAAAAAATTAAAGCTTGATCTCAATTATGGTAGATATCAATAAAAGGTACCAGCCAAAATTAAAATTTGAAAAGATTTAAAGAAAACAAGTAGTACAGGTTAGATATTAATAAGAATGGGAAGTGAGAACTGGGTTTTGTTTTGTAAGAGAAAAAGGGTTACCAGGAAAGGGAAACTGAGACTCTTGTGAACAGCAACCAAACGCATTGGATGTCGGAAATTGGAAGAAAAATAGAGTTTATTTAGTAGGAAAATATTGGACTTTTCATTGGTCAAAATATCAGTGTTTCATCATTACCTACCATCGAAGGCAGCCTTTTCAGCCTTCTCTTATAAAGTTACAATTTATCGATTTTATTATAAAATCAAGAGATATTATGATATATTACGAGAAATTAAAAAATATATAAAAATTAAAAAAAATAATATAACAAGTATTAATTAAAAACTTATAAAAATAATTTTATTTATGTTCTTAATTTGACAAAAAAAAATTATAAATTACATATTTTATATTTATATTTATTTATTTTTATTAATAATAACATTAAAATAACAATTCAACTATAGTTATATCACATATTATTTTAATAAATAATATTTTGTTATTTCTTCATTATTAACAAATAATAATTTTATAACAATAATTAATACAAATTTTAATATTCATCTTAATAATTTTTTATTTTTTTAAATTCTAAAATATCAATTATTTTATGTGATCTTTTTTAATCTTAAAATCATTTTTTTAGTTATTTATGTTATATATTTTACAATTTTATTTGTATAATTTTTTTTTAGTCTTAAAAATTTATTAACATAAATCATAAAAATGAAATCTACTTATATCATTTTATTTATATGCTTTTTTCATAGATACTTTGATTGCAAATTTTAGTTTTTTTTTTTTTTTATAAAAAAATAACATATTTGAAACGCAACTCAATTAAGATGTGATATTTTTATTACTCTACAAATATTTTTACTCTGTAATAAAAATAAAATTATTACACAAATATTTACGTTAATAAATTTTTAAAACTAAAAATGGTATAATGATAGCATTCAAATATGAGCGAAATTTTATTGTTTATTTTCACTTGTTTACATAAATAAATTTTTTATTATTTATTTATCATTTTCTTATATATTTAAAAAATAATAATTAATTAAAATTTTACATTACAATATTAATTATTTACATTATAATAATATTTTCTTATAATTTGTCTTCTCTTTTGTTATGTTTAAAATTATCATAACTTTTTCTTATTATGTTAAGACATTTTTTACACATTTTAAGCCAATGATATGAATTTTACATTTTTTCTCGTATGTTTAAGTTACAAAATTTTATTATTATTATTTATTGAATTTTTTTATATAGTTACATAAATAATAATTAATCAAAATTTTACGTTATTAGCTTAATTATTTACATTATAATAATACTTTCGGTTGTTCTTACATTCCAATAGGTTTAGAATTGTCATAGCTCTTTTTTAATATGTTATGATACTTTTAATCCATTTTATACCAAATTATACAGATTTTACACTTCTTATCACTTGTTCACATTACTATTTATTTTTTAAATTTTATCTATTTTTCTTATATATTAACAAAAATAATAATTAATTAAAATTTTAAGTTGCTTAATTATTTAAGTTGTAATAATATCTTCTAACAATTGTTTTTATGTTTCATTACATTTACAATTGTTATAACTCTTTTTTAGTTTGTGTTATGACACTTTTTACTCATTTTAAGTCAAATAATACAAATTTTATAATTTTTTTCACTTGTTTACGTTACCTACTTGTTTTTTATTTTTAGCTATTTTGCTTATATATTTACAAAACAATAATTAATTAAAATTTTACATTACCTATTTAATTATTTACGTTACAATAATATCTTTTTATAGTTGTTCTTAATTGTCATTACGTTTAAAATTATTATAGCTTTTTCATTGTGTATTACGATATTTTTTATCCATTTTACGGTAAATAATACAAATTTTGCATTTTCCTTACTTGTTTACAAAACCTATTTATTTTTTTAATAATTAGTTATTTTTCTTATATATTTATAAAAATAATAATCAAGTAAAAGTTTATGTTATCTACTTAATTATTTATGTTATAATAATATTTTCTTAGATTACTCTTACCTTCCATTATATTAAGAACTGTTATAACTCTTTTTTACTTATTTTACGCCAAATGGTATAAATTTTATGTTTTTCTTATTTGTTTAGTTACTTATTTTCTTTTAAATTATCAGCTTTTTTACATATTTATAAAAATAATAATTAATTAAAATTTTACGTTGTTTACTTAAATATTTATATTATAATAATATATTTTTACTATTGTTCTTACTTTTCATCATGTTTAGAATTGTTGTTGTTCTTTCTTAGTGTATTACGATACTTTTAACCTATTTTATTTCAAATGATATTAATTTTATATTACTTCGCACTTGTTTATGTTATGAATTTATTTTTTAATTTTAAATATTTTTTTTTATATATTTACAAGAATAATAAATAATTAAAATTTTATGTTGTTAACATAATTATTACCTTTACAACAATATCTTTTTACTTTTATTTTTACTTTTCATTCTATTTACAATTGTCAAAACTCATTTTTAACGTGTTATGATACTTTTTACCCATTTTACATTAAATGGCACTAACTTACATTTGTTCTCACTTGTTTACATTACCAATTTATTTTTTAATTTTTAGTTATTTTTCTTAGATATTTATAAACAATAATTAATTAAAGTTTTACATTACCAATATAATTATTTACATTATAATAATATATTATTATAGTTGTTCTTAATTTTCATTACATTTAAAATTATCATAACTTTTTTAATGTACTACAACAATTCATACCTATTTTATGTCAAATGATACTACATTTACTTTTTTCTCACTTGTTTACATTACCAATTTGTTTTTTAATTCTTAACTATTTTTATATATTTACAAAAAATAAATAATTAAAATTTTATATTGACAACTTAATTATTTACATTACAATAAATTTTTTTATGATTATTCTTATTTTTAATTATGTTTAGAATTGTCATTACTTTTTTCTTAGTGTGTTACGATATTTTTTACTCATATTATGTCAAATTATACTAATTTTAAAATTTTTTCGCTTTTTTATGTTACCTTCTTTTTTTCAAATTTTACCTATTTTCATATATATTTAAAAAATAATAACTAGTTAAAATTTTAAATTGCCAACATAATTATTTATTATACAATAATATATTCTTACGATTATTCTCACTTTCTATTACGTTTAGAATTGGCATAGCTCTTTCTTAGTATATTGAACACTTTTTATCCATTTTACACAAAATAATACTAATTTTATAGTTCTTCTCACTTATTTACATTACCGATTTATTTTTTAATTTTTAACTACACTCACATAGAGAGAAACAATAATAAGCTAAAATTTTACATTATCATCATAATTATTTATATTATAATAATATATTTTTATGATTGTTCTTACTTTTCATCACGTTTAAAATTGTCATAATTCTTTCTTAGTGTTTTATGATACTTCTTACCCATTTTATATTAAATGGTACTAATTTTACGTTTTTCATTTGTTTACATTATTAATTTATTTTTTAATTTTTTACTATTTTTCTTTTATATTCACAGGAACAATAATTAATTAAAATTTTACGTTATCAATATAATTATTTTTTTTATAATAATATCTTCTTATAGTTATTTTTTTTCATTACGTTTATAATTGTCATAACTTTTTCTCAATATGTCATGACACTTCTTATTTATTTTATGTCAATGATACTAATTTTACATTTGTTCTCACTTATTTAATTAATCAATTTATTTTTTAATTTCCATCTATTTTCCTTAAATATTTACAAAACAATACTTAATTAAAATTTTATGTTGCCAATATAATTATTTATATTACAATAATATATTATTAGGGTTGTTCTTATTTTTCATTACATTTATAATAGTCATAATGCTTTGTAGGATATTACGATAATTCATACTATTTTAGCTAAATGATACTAATTTTATTTTTTTCTTACATGTTTAATTTACCAATAAATATTTTAATTTTTAGCTATTTTTCTTATATATTTAAAAATAATTAATTAAAATTTTATGTTTACAGCTTAATTATTTATGTTATAGTAATTTGGTTTTATGATTGTTTTTACATTTAATTATGTTTAGAATTATAATAGTTCTTTCTTAATGTATTACAACACTTTTTTTGATTTTACATCAAATGATACTCATTTTACGTTATCTATTTGCTTTCTAATTTTTTGCTATTTTCTTTATATATTTAAAAAATAATAATTAGTTAAAATTTTATATTACCAACATAATCATTTACGTTACAATAATATTTTTTTACGATTATTTTTACCTTTTATTATGTTTAGAATTGTCATAACTCTTTTGTAATATGTTATGATACTTTTTATCTATTTTATGCTACATGACCCTAATTTTACATCTCTTCACACTTATTTACGTTATCAATTTATTTTTTTAATTTATAGCTATTTTTATATATATATATATATACAAAACTAATAATTAATTAAAATTTTATATTACTATTATAATTATTTACATTACAATAATATATTTTAAATTTGTTCTTACTTTCAATATATTTAGAATTGTCATAGTTTTTTTTCTTAGTATATTATGACACTTCTTACCCATTTTATATCAAATGATATAAATGTTACATTTCCTATCACCTATACACGTTTTTTATTTTTTTTATTTATTAGATATTTTTCTTATATATTTATAGGAATAATAATTAATTAAAATTTTACTTCGCTATTTTACTTATTTACATTTAAATAATATTTTTTTATTGTTGTTCTTACATTTTATTAAGTTTAGAATTATTATAATTCTTTCTTAGGTGTTATGACACTTCTAATATATTTTACGCTAAATAATACAAATTTTATGATCCCTCTCACAAGCTTACATTAATAAATTTTTTATTATTTTTTTCCAAAATATCATTTCTTTTACATTAATTTTCATCTTTCAATGTATTTTTAACTATTTTCTTACATATTT